TGGAAAACTGGAAGTTTGGTTCAATTGCAGACAAAATACGGCATTTGGGACCGGGAAGTTGCTGGGTCTAAATTCATCCGTGTGTTTCTCCCCAAGGCCACCCTGGACCCATGCACACAGATCTACTTGGACTGGGCAGGGACCAGTGAGAAGTGCTGGAAGTGGCATGACTTCCAACACCACCCTTCCAGCCCTCCTTTGCATTCCATCACCATGAAATCGAACTGCCAGGTCACCATTAAAACCCTGGCTTAGGATGAAATTGACTTACTGTTCCCCAGCCACAGCAATCGTGTCTGCTTCAATAGGTCCCTGTTCAAGGCAAGCACTTGTTGTGGCCCTGCCTGGCCAGCTCCTGTCTTACCAGCTCCTCAGAGAGCAGCAGGGAAACCACCCGGTGGAGATAAGCTTGGGACTTGCAGCCTGGGACTGGTCACAAATTTTCATGCGGAAAAATCACCATTTCTTTCAAAACCAAATTTCCTGCCTGTGTGACTCTTAATGAAATTCCGTCTCAGGAAAGCATTTAGAGACGAGATTGAAATGCTGTCGCTGAAGGGCAAGAACAACAAGACTCGCAAATTCATTTTGAAACACTTTGAAACACTAATGTTTCTTTTCAAAACATTAATATTAAATGTCAATACAAGCACAAAGCTTCTGATTTTATCTAAACAGCATTTCACTTAACGTGAAACAAGCATCTGGGGAGAGGAACACCAGAATCTTCTGGTATTTGTTGTCACTGAGGTTTCCTACCTCTGACCCCTCCTCAGAAGTGGAAATGCTGTTCTGGCCAGGGCTCAGCCGTGCTTGGTGCCACTGGTGTGTAACCCTGTCCTTTGCTGGATGCAAACACAGCAGTTTACCATTGGAATACAGTGCTTGGTTGGGCGCTGAGGCCTCAGGGTAAAGGATTCAAGTTGTCTTCCCTGGTGCAGGCACAGACCAAATGCTGACAATCCTCACAGCAATACATGGCCACAGATGTGTCACCAAGGGAGACAGGCCTCTGGCGTAGCTGTTCAGAAGGGTGTCAGCTACACAGGGCCTCAAGTACACAGAACCATAAAGCACTGGCTTCTTTGACCCCCAAAACTCAGACTTCTCAGGACCAATTGCTTTGTTAGGTAAGGAGGTCATCTTCATTGCCCCACTACTCCTGGGCAGCCTACTCCCACCAGAGCAGTCTCAAATCATGAGTTTAGCTCCTCAGTCCCTTTGTACATGTACTGGAAGAGGATCAGCTCCAAAGGGCAGCTGTAAGGGTTAGTGTGCTCCATGGCCATGAAAGGAAAAGGCACCCATGACACATAACACAGATAAATGCAAAAGATTGGTTTACAACAGATGCAGGATGCTCTTCCGCTCAGCCTCCCCTCAGAGAGTTTAGCATTAGCACTCTTCACTTTGTGTGGACTCTCTTTGCAGCTGAAAGACCCAGAAAAAAGTCACCTACTGAAGCTGCCAGAAAGTGAAGATGAGTTCCTTCTTCAGTATAAAAAGATTCAGCTCAGGAGCCTGCCGTCCAAAAATCAGACAATGTTGCAATACTTCTGGCAATCCCTTTCTCAGTGATATCACTCCTTGTGTTCCATCATCTTCTATCTGCATGAAATACTGAAATGAAGATATCTGTGCTCACAGCAAGCGGTTACATCAGCATTTCAGATCAACTTTTCCTTCATCAAGGTGGCAACAGTCACTTTGTGACGAAAATAAAGTCCCTTTCTTCAAGCTCACGATGCCTATCTGTACATCAGGTTCTTGTAGCTCCAAGTTTCTTTCAGCTGACAGCATTTGATGCATCACAGTCTGATCAGTGGGGTTACATACCGAATGCACAGTACTCTGAAGCAGATGGCTTCCATCCTACAGCCAAGGAACTGGAAACTTTGGGAACTGATTGTACCAAGTGTGACTGACGAGCCTGCTTTGGCTCTCAGCCAGAGATACCTAGGCTGGTGGAGAGGGGATGGAAACCAGCAGCTTAGGTACAGGGCCCAGGGGCAATCCAAGAGAGGAAAGACGAGGTGTTTTCAGGGTTTCCAGGCTTCAGCTGGTGGTAGATGGCACTTCCCATGGCTTAGTGGCATGGTTGGGCACCTCGGAAAGGGATCAACTGATTCTGTTTTCATTTTGTTCTATTTAGAGCTCTTTACATCAAAGATCTGATTTGCTCCACCATGTTGGCTTGGGTCTAGGACCCATGAGGATGAAAATGCATGAGAGTAGGAGAAAACAGCAACTGTGGACAAAGGGTTGGATCTACCTGCAGTCACCAACATGCAGTTGCTTCAGCAGCACAGACTTTTCCATTTCCCCTTTTTGTACCCACATCACTTTGTCAATACCAAACATGCAGTGTGAGGAAAGGACTATTAGCTTTGCTTGAAAAACACATGCCACAGTGTAAGGTTATGCCTCAGGCCATCACTGTTGTACAAAAAGAAGGGTGAATACCTGGTCAGCTGCTTTGGCATTCACCTCATTTATGAGATGCAATCCAAAGGGCCAAACCTCTTTTGGAGGCTCCAAGCCTCTAGGAAGCTATAGTCACATATCACTGCCCCCACACCTGTCAGACGGAAGCTGAATTGCACAGAGAGGGTTTCTGCTTCGGTTAGACAATGTCATTCAAATGGCATTCTCAAAGACAGAGGGTGAAGGGAAGTTTCATGGTGACATTACAGGGGACAAACCACAAGCCTCTGGATGATATAATACCAAGGAAGAACACTGTGGTAATGAGGAACTATGGGAAGACGAGTCTGTGAGTAACCAGGCAAGAACAGGTATCAAATACAGTAATATTTGTGTTTTCTGCCATCAGCTCCCAAGTTTTCCTTTAGTAAAAGCCAATAGTTAAAATATGTTTTTGTATTACAGTTGGGGTTTCTTCCCCCTAACAAAATTGTAAGGAAAGAGACCATTCAGTCACACAACATTGCTTGTCAGTAAAGAAAATACAAATTTACTTTTATTATAACCATAAAGAGGCATTAATTTAACAATTAGCTGTACATTCAGCACTCAGGTATGTATCTGTGCCAAATAAACCCAGTTCTCTTACTCCTAAAAAAAGAACGCTTCTCAACAATGCACTTGCCTGTGCTTACATGACGGCCCTCAACGTTCGTCACTTATAGGATGTTTATTGTCTCTGTATTACAGTTATCTTGACAGATAAGCCTCAGGATACAGAATAAAGTTTTACTCTTGGACCAAAATAGGAGGCAACATTTTTATTTAAAAAAATTAAAAACAGCAAGTTTCTAGTCAGATAATATAAAGCATCTTAAATTAATCTTTTGAAAGTATTTACACTATTTGTAAACGTAAATATCTGAAACTGTACATGTTTAAACAAATGTTCACTTAGCAAACAGGCTGTATAAACTGATTGCTCTTCTAATCTTTCCACCAGCTGTCCTAGAGCTGTCTGGGTACTCTAAGAGAGAAAAAGATCCCAACCACAAAAGTGACTACTGCCATGGTTTAGCCTTCATGTCTTTTCTGTACAATGTCTGTATTCAGTCAGTCATAACTCTGTACAGTGACCATGCAGTCCTTCTGAAAAACTTCATAAAAAACAAATATACATATATTACAGTGCACTGGACATTATATTACAGCCTGTATTTGTACAAAAGTAAAGAGAAAGGGCAAGTTTTCCTCCTTGTTAGTTAATTTTTAAGGGGTCAAATAAGGTCCTAGGAGTACCATTTATGTACCTCAGCACCACTGCTGCAACACTTCTTGTGGTAGCTTTAAATCCTACCATCTTGTTCTCCAGCCATGTAATTTATAATAGGAAAATTATTAGATCAAAATACCACCAATGTGCCTGGAAATTTCTTCAGATTTAGAAGTACAGAACAGCTTTTATAAATAAATAAAAAATTCGCCGTGTTTCTCACTACATTTGGTTTTTGCAGGGCTGACCAATAAGGATTTACCCACTGACACACCCTGAGGCTGCTTTAAGCGTTTCATTTCATTAATGGCTGGGTGTTTAGCATTCAGCTTTCTACACTAATGACCAATAAATGCCTACTGAACAGCGTGCATTGTTAACAGGTACCAGTACCTGTCCTCTGTTTACAATGCTGATTTGACAGCCTTGCACATTCAATTTCAGGCAACCCCCTCTACCCTTTACTCCACAGCACAAAGGCTGTGCAAGTTCCAGTTTCGGATCGCACTTTAAACAATATGACACCACCCTTTGATCTTGGGAAAGGCAAAAAATCCAACTCTGCTCTAAAACTAAGTACCTGAAAACCTCAATGCTAAGTTTTGCTGTAAAGCATCTGAAAACATGCGCTTCCCTCGAAAAAACAAAACTTATATTGCACAGTTTTCTATTGCAAATCTCAAGGATCTGAGACCCTTTATAGAGGAAGGTGAGACCCTTTACAGAGGAAGGTTAGCAAAACTTCAGATCAGACCTCACAGCTCCCAATCACAACAGTATAAGAAAAACATCATATCCAGTGTTTCAAGAAACACTTCACATGTAGGAAATAAATTTTTCACAACTAAGAACCTCTGAATTATGTTCAAGCACATGGTGGATTAACAGGATTTTTGTGGCAGTTAAAGAAAAACTCAGGGCATGCCTGCTTAAGTCAAATTGTCATACCATTGTGCTTATCTCCCAAGTCTTGCTAGTATCTCTTACTGCTCTCATTTGATTCCCTGCACTTTATTTCCAGAGTGTCACTGAAAGTGTGAATTCCCATTGCATACATCAGCTTATTAAGGGAAAGCAAAAATGGGTTTTACATTAAAAAGCAAAAAACAAAACGTTTCAGCTTTGAAAACACCTGGATAAGGCAGTTACTGAGCTTCCATAAGAGTGATCTGCAAAGGGTTTTTTGTTTTGTTTTCATCTGCCCAATTCTCAAGCCTATAAACAGGAAAACCTTGAACAAATCAATAAACCTGGTGGGGTTTTTTTGTTTTTTGGTTTTTTTCCCTAGAACAGGGTTAAGCAGCCTGGATAGTTTTGATGCAGACTGGACTGCACAGCGAGATTCTTTGTCCACTTCAAGTAAATGTCTTTGTGTTTCCTTCACTGCCTGGCATTCAGCTGAAGCTTATTTCAAGCAGCCTCATTGCTGGGTTACTTAGACATCGATAATAGTAAGTTCACCTGAAAGACAGAAGGAAAGTCTATGTTAGACAGAGCAGCTACATTTCAGAACTGATGTGTTATATTTTAACCTTTAAACAGGATTCCTATGAAGCACATTAGTCAGGAGAAGATAGCTACAAAACAACCAGCCAAAATTTCCAGTCAAATGCCTACTCACAGGGTTTTTAAAATGCAGTTGTTGACCATACTGACTACTTATTTCACCAATCATAAGCCACTGTGTTAAATTTTCTAAGATGACTTCATGTGTTGCCAAGAAATTCCAAAAAACAGGCACACTGGCAAAAAATGGTAAGATTCATCTCAGATACCTGAAATACATTTGGGATCCTACACAATACCTGTTTCCTACAGATTACAATATGGTTTCCCCTACAATTCAGTTTGTAGGATAAGTGATTCTAAGTTTTAACAGATAAATAATTAGAGGAAGCCATCTCCTCTAGGATAACCCCACCTCCTTATGGTGCATCACTCTGTGCTCCTGGACAGTTATCACACATTCCTGTGGCCACATTCACTGCAAGAAACATCCTCTAATCCACAAACCAGTTTACCTGTTTAAACATTAGCACCCTGTGATAAGATTCTATCCACATTGCCTAGACCACTGAGGTCAAAGTGGCATTTTCGAAACCTACTTGGTTTCTGCCAGAGAATCCTAATACAGAGAATTCTTAAACCAAATCATCTCCAAGACTAAAGACTTTACCTACCATGTAGGGTTACACTTCCATAACAACTGCACATTTTCCCAACGCAATTTACTTGAAATGCACCCTAGCAGTTCTTTCTCGTGCTTCCTGAATGCAGAAGTTGCTGCTTTTTATATTTGTCAAAAGCAAGACTGCCTTCAAATGCACAGGCTTTTTTAAGGTGCATTCATTGGTTTTGATATCTCTTTGAAAAGACAATGCCTAGAAACAGAAAAACTCTTCTGCAGTGTTGTACAACTCAATCTCAGCAACATCAATCATCACTTTTGTTTAAGAAACTCTATTCGATATTCTTTAAAAAACAACCAAACAAAGCCCTGTTCTAGCTGAGAGCCTTAAGTTCAGATAATGCCCTGTATTTAATCATCCAAGATTAAGGGGGATAATAAATAAAGATTCTGAACAATGGAAATACTAAAAATGAAAAAAATCAATGTTTAAAAAAGCAAGTCACGTGACAGAGCAACTGATAAAACCGAGAGCTTCAATATATACCTGTTCCATTGAAGGACAAGCTATGATTTGCAGATCTTCATTACTAAATTCTTCCTTTAACAAAGCATGGAGTTTCTGGAACATTTGCTGAACGTTATTCTTTTAAACAAAAGAAAAAATGTCGTATTAAAAACCACAACACTCATCTCAAACATGAACCACAATAAGCACAATGTTCATGGACTAGCTACTTATGTGACAAGGCAAGGAGAAGCAGTCAAGCTTTAAGAACTTTTCTTCTGAAACAAGCTGTTTTGGGAAAGAGCTACAAGGAATCCATGTTGGCTGTGAGATAAAAACTTCAGCCAAGATGTGCTAAACTGAAACACTGAGTCCTAAAGACTTAACCTGGAAGCCTAAAACTCAAGTTGGTTCTTCTGGTAGTTTACGGTAGGTTTTTCATTGAATCTGCATCATCATCTCTGCCTTTGGTGCTTCTGCCCATGCATAACTGACCAAACTGAACTGGTTTTGGCTGGGACAGAGTTAATTTTCCTTACGGTAGCTCATAGGGTGCCACGTGGAAGATGTGCGGAATAAACAGGACCAGTTACTTCCCTGTAGTATATGTGTGTGTGTTACATAGGCCGAGTACAGCAGTGAGCAGGACAGCTGTTTGGGTTTTTTCTCTAAGCTAAAGATATCATCATGAAACACCTACAGAAAAACATGCCAGCAATACTCACCCTGACTGGCTTAAATAAAATTAATTCTGTATCTTTATTGGACAAATATAAGGACATGCTTCGTAACGTTGACGGCAGCTTCGTTTTTATTGTCTTATAAGTGGAAGAGACCAGATCGTTGATCTTTGCTGGAAGTAAAAGAAAATGTGCTTAATAGGCTGAAATGAAGCTCTGCTAGCTGAAACCTACACTCCAGAAAATCAACTCCATTTTACTGGGGCTGACCATTATCATGGGTTTGAGTGAAAGAAAGAGAGGGGGCGGCTGGGCTGTGCAGTATCAAACCCATCACATGACTGAAGCGTGCCAGACACTGCCAAAAATGCATCCAACCCATTTCTGCAAGCTACCACATCCTCCTGAGGTTTCTGAAGTCACAGCCTTCCAATAGCAACAAAGTTCTACGTAGGCTTTCCCCCTAGAAAACCTGCCTGGAAAAAAAGCTGCTGGGAAATAAACAGTGGTAATAAGGAGAACAGAATATCACAAATTCTCCTTACTGACCACAGGCCACCTCTGTGAGAAGAAATGTCTGCACAGACATCTGGATTTTGAATCAACTGGACAGGAATCCTCTCTCAGACAAGACCTTCTTTTTTTATTGCTAGGAATTTTAATGATTTTACAAGATCGTTGCTTAAAGGCCAGGGGAAACATAAATTTCGCAGTTTAAAAGTACTGAAGTTAATACACTCTTGTTTTTACCCTCCCTTCAGTTTCTGCCGTATCTAAATTTTTTGCCTAATCCTGCTTCCCAGACAAATTACTCCAAGAAAAAGCAGAAGCTCTACTTAGATCTGCCTCTACACACATAATTATCTCCAAACAAACATTAAAAATACTCCTGAAGAGGCAGGAGATGTTAAGTAGAAGCTCAAGTTAGCCCTTGAGAGTGTCTGACCCACAGAGCAGCACTGAATTATGTATGAATATGGCTGGCTTTGCATTTCAAGAACATGATGCAACAGAAGGTTCTGATGTATGAATTGGAATAATCAGATTTTTTCACTCAGAAGCACAACTTTGTACTGTGAAGAGCAAAACAATCCAGGAACATCTAAAACTGCTCCAAATGTTCCTATGAAGCATTCACATTTGAATCCTTAAGAACAGGAAAACAAAGATTCCATTTCTGCACAGTGACAGGAAAACTGTAAAGAACGCAGGTACCAAATGTACAGACAATAAAAGCTACAAGGTGGATTCATTCTTTTGTACAAAAGCAAAAGCTTTATCATAATATAAGCAAATAATGCCTTAAGGAGATTCCATATGCAGTTGCAGAAATGCTGTTTACATGCAAGAACAGTCACAGCTTGAGAAATACTCGAGGCATTTATCTACTGCACCAATTAAATACATATTCTGAAGTCTGTCAGGTTTTGATTGAGAGGTGGTCAAAGACATTTAAACTAGCACATGGGTTAAAATGGAAGGCAGGATTTTCAAAAAAAAGGCAGACAGTTCAATTCTTCAAAATCAATCACAGTCTCACAGTCCAAGTTATTCTGGCCACTTTTTCAGATTTCTAATAGTAACATAAACATAAACCAAAGCAAATACCTGGTTGTGCCCAAGGTTGCTGTGATAGGCTGTAATTGGGACCTCCTTGAGTGGCCATTGTTTTTAAAGCAGCTACCTGAAAAAAGTAAAATCAACAAAATTATGTTTCTTTCAGTTGAATTCACAATAAAGTGATCAAGTAAAAATTGCACAAGTCTCTCAGATACTGCAGTGTACGGAATCTCCCCTGCTCTTTCTCTTCTCTGAACTGACTTAACAGCACACAGGGGAAGCAGTGTGACAGAAATGCAATTCAAAATTACAACTGTGATCAATTCTTGAAAGTAAAATTCAAAATGGGATTAAATTTACAAAGACGCTTAGGCACCAAAGGATACAAAACCTCAAAAGAGATTTATGCTTAAGCAGCTTAGTGAAACTCCCCAGATTCTCAATGAATCACTGGGATGACTGAGACAATCTATCAGTCTCACCAGTTACCCATCTATATATTTTAGGCATGCCACTGACCCCTACCCCAGCATGACAGGCATCAGTAAATTTAATACTGTAATCTTCTAAATTCTCAAAAATCAGCAGCTGGGATATCTGCTGTCCATACAATGCTGTAGCCCCAGTTTCTGAAAGCTCATGTCCCTTATTCCCAACACATAAGGATCCATATCTTAATTTTTCAGAATAGATTCTGCTGTGTGGTCCTGAGCTCTAGAGCAGGTTCTAGAAAGAGATGTATTGTAAAAAGATATCTTTTTCATTTCTATCCCCTAAGATGCTTAATCTTTCTGATCAACTTTTACCAGGAATTTCTGTCCCAAGCAGAACTTGTAAAGAAAGGTTGCTCAGCAAACACCTCACTGGTGTAAAATACGCTGAGAACAGAAAATTTTAACACGCTTCACAGCCATACTATAAGACCTCCCTCAAGAACACACGTGACCCAAGATTGTTTTTGGAGGCTTACAAATGCAGTCGAGGTTGGAATTTTCCTGCAAATAGAAAAGCTCCTGTTTCAACTCAGTGGAACATTAAAGCTTCTTGATCTAAGAGCACAAGGGTTGCTTTTAAAAACAAACTATGTCATGTACCTTTAATTAATCTCAAAAAATGCCTGGAAAATTGTTGTTGGAACTTAAAGGAAAGCACATCATCTTCAGCTAATCAGACAGAACCAACAGCTTCTCCTATACCCAATTTAAATAATAATTCCCTTGTCCTACCAGTACTTTAGTTAGGTTAACAAACATACAACACATTTGTACCTTTGTCATGAACTCCTCCAGCTGTTCTATAAACTGTTTGGTTTGCTGCTGAATAAACTGCTCACAAGCTGATTTCAGATGACGATCTACATCTTTCTTAGAGTCGATATAATGTTCTTTGATTTCTGGAGTACCCTTGAACAGAGGAAAACAATTCTCTTCTTTTTATTTGCCAGAGATCACCAAACACTTAAATGACAAAATATTTCCTAATGAGATAAGACTCCATATTACCTCCAGTAAGAACTGTATCAAGGCGTTGTTGCTGTTCAGTCTAAAAAATCTTGAAACTGTCTTGGGATTCAGGATTTTAAATGCTGCATCTGTGAATCAGAAAGTCACTCACACTGTAAGTCAATGCGATTCATTTCCAGGACTTAGGAACTCTAATCACCCAGCACGAATTATTACAATGGTGACATTAATGATTCCAGCACTGCTAGGAGTGGACATGCACAGAAGCACACAAAGTTTAATTTCCTGGTTTTCAACTGTACCTCTGGTAAACCTGAATCCAACAGCTGCACAGTCTAAACAGATAAATACACTGCAAGAAACTAACAAGTTACTGATATTAACTGGAGTGCTGTGAGCATGTAAAGTGTGCAAGCTCTCCTTATTACTGTACCTACAAGTGAAAGACTTTTACATAAGCTATGTAGTTAAACATTTAGAAACAATATGCAGAATTTTGCACATATTGCCTGGGAAAACCAATTACAGTTGCATGAAATAACTTAGAATTGGCACTTTCTTCCTCTGTGCTTAATTGCTTTAGTTAGAACTAAATAACAAAACACCAAGGTTGATAGACATTCATATTTATGTTCTCTACAGAAGTCCCAGAAGAAAAAGCAACAGTAATTAACACAAGATACTGAAATTACTCCTATAGTGCTAACAGGATGTTGTCAACCTGAAATTTAGTCAAATCGGGAAAAAGAAGATTATTGGTAGTTTCAGTATAGCTTACTGCCCTACTGTCATTCATTTATCATTCTACATATCCATCTGCTTTTTTATTTTTCAAAAATAATTCTGTGCCCTTCTTGCTGCATAAAACAATGTGAGGGAAACAAGACATAAGAGCTAAAGAAGTGCTGTACAGGCATTAAATCAAGAGGGAATACCAAATACATAGGCATGTAGGTTTAGCACTGAACTAAGAATCTGCACTCTTACCCAGTTAAGGGAGACCACAGAGAAAGATTATTTTTGTTCTCTGAATTATTTCCCAGAAACTTCACCAATTGCAAAGACAGCCCAAGCTCTTGATTAGAAGTCTATAAGCCAGTCAGTGAGAAAGTCCCTTTTCCCACTGCATATTTCAGTTACATGAACTCTACATTTATAATACTTAAAAAAAAAAAAAATGGGTGAAAACATGACTTTTACATTAAGCAGTATTCTTTTGTCTATAAATTCCAAATTAAATCTTAAATCTATCTGCAGAAAGTTTGGCTAGAACACAGTAAACCTATTAGCCCATTAGCTAATTAGTTATTTTTCTTCTACAACTCATCCCAAAAGCCCTACTGTTCTATGCTACACCACATTAAGAATTAAGCACCATGTACATCTTTTCAACACCACTGCCACCACCCAATATAAAGAAAGTGTTTTCCATTACTTACCACTACCATCTGCAAAGCACTGGCTGGCACAAAAATTTATTCCATTACATGAAAATGGAGAACAAACTTGTGTGTCAGCCAGGACAAAACACCAAAAGGATATATTTGCCCTTTAACCTCCAGTCAACTAGAAACCACTAAACAGGGGGGAGGTTTCATTGATGTTCAAGTGCAACAACTGAAATAGTTAGTGTAAGAATTGCTTGCTTAAGAGTTAAGAGAGCAGCTTATTAGACAGCAGGAGAGAGAAGTTATTTCTTCAGCTTTCTCTTCTGGAATGGAAGGAGAGAAATTTGACATGCTTCCAGTAATTCTTCCCATTATCTTCATAAACTTGGAAAGTGCATGACAGTTCACTTTTGTATTGAGAGCTTTTTTTCCTGCATTTTACCAAGGAACCATAGCACAGTTTCAAAACCATGGCCATGGTCACTACTTCTATTTTCACTTCCTAAAACAAACACGCTTGCTACATAATACCATTAAACAATACTGTTCATTGAACTTGCAAAAGAAGAAAACCTCTCCAAAACAAAAACCTCACAGAAATGTCTAGGAAATCTTGATTTGTTCTAGGAAAGTTGACTATGTATTGTTAAATTCACCTGCTAAACAGCAGTAGCAAAAGATATTCCTTCAAAGGGTCAGAAAAGGGGAAAGACATATCTGTGCAATAGAAATGTAGGTTACTTAGCCGTTCTTAAAAAGGACCGGATAAATAAGTTAGGTCAGCAGCAAAAAGCAAACAAACAAACAAAAAAGAATTTGTTAGATACATCTTGAATTGCCCCGTGTAAGACAGTGGTTTTGGGGTTTTTTCAGAGAAGCTAAGAACAAAGCAAGAGATTAGAAAAAGCATATAGGTCATTGCAAGTGAACATAAAATAAACCCAGAACTTTCGCTGGCACATTAAGGGAGGACAATCCCATCCCATTCTGTCGCCAGCAACTGTTCAGTACCTCTAGTTTTCTTGAGGTCCAGGGAAATTTCCTTAATGGTGAAATCAGTGTGGAAAGGAGCAATTTGTTCTCGAAGAATCAAAAGGTGTTTTATTAAGAAAAGTTGTCCATCAACCTGGGTCTACAGCAGAAGAGAAAGAACATGCATTACATGTAAAAAAATCCCCAAACAATTAGATGAAGAGCAAAGTTTCAACATTTCTGCTTTTATGAGTTAACAAGCTTTTTCCATTAGTCTGTAGTGGCATTAACTATGCTCTGGGATCAACAAATTCCACTTCTGTACTATTCCTAATACAGTGCGCTACAGAAGCAGACTTTATTCACATTTCTTAGAAGAATCAGATTATACAGACATACTAGTAAATGTCCCCATTAAGTAAAGGTATCCACTTTTTGAAAGATAGAAACTTATTCTTCTTAAGAGCCAGGAATTATTTAATGTAATTCATGTAATTTATAGTTGAAAAACATGATGTTCTATATTTGTTTTAATCACTATGATGACTAAAAAAAACCACAAACAGTTAATGTTCCTGTAATAACCTTGATTAACTGTGCTATTCTGCAAAGGCCTTACAAGGCATTTTTCTCATGTCATTAAACACAAAGCTTAGTTAATTTCTAAACAGTACAGCAAAGATAGAATAAAACAAGGCCAAGTTCACACCACCAAGAGGATGTTTTGCACTGCTTGTCATTTTAGGTATGTGCTTTATAATGCATGCTGGTTTTATTCTTTGAAGTCCATGGCTCATTGAGGTAAAAGGAGGAGGACTCAAGAAATCAAACTTGCTTTTGCAAGCTGGAAGAGAAATTTCCTTTATATAACGTTAAATAAAACAGTAAATGAGAAATCAGATTTAAATAAGCAGTTTTAAAAAACAGAAATGTCACTAAAAGTAAGTAGTGGAAATACTTCTTGAATTGTCTGATTTTGGCTTTTTGGTTTTTTAATTCTTACATGCAGGATTTCACCAGATAATGTTAAATTAACATGCATCAAGAACAAAGTGGTACAGATCCTAGTTCTGGGCCAACAGCAGGATAAGTTTCATTCTTCATAATACGTTTAAGTTAATGCTGAACACAGCATTGCAATGGATATTTAACTGCAAAATACTGAATCAATTACATAGGCAATAGTTACCTGCTCAAACTAAAGGAAATGCAGTTTGAATTCCTTTTTAAAGATACTATGTTTAACAGGTATTTTACAAAGGGCACTCAAATACTTCAAAACAGCTCTTCACAACTAAAACTTTTCATTACTAAATATTTACTGCTTATAAAAATCCAACAATTTTAGCCTACTAAGACTTTTTTTTTTTTAATTCACTTCCTGGCTGTTAAGAATTATCAATTACTGCAGTATTTGTATTAAAGGAATTGTGACAGGAAAAAATAAAGTTTACTCCAACTACTTAAACTAACACTCTAAGTTAAAGTGACTTGATGAATCTGCACTGAATTCTGAGCAATGCATCAGATCAGATCTTGTGATAATACAGCTCTGAGCAGAGAATACTTAGAAAATCTTCCCAGTGAATGTAACAGTTAGAAAGACTTTTGAAAGTTCAAACAAACAATGGAGACAGAGAAAAAGAGTAATAGACAGTGAAAGTAAACACAGGGAGCAGAGTCCTCTAGTAGAAATTTTTCTTTAGACATCACTTCATTGGATTCCCGTGAGTTAGAGCAGCTTGTAAACATGATTGCTACGACCTGTATTTCTCATTTTCAGAGAGGCTAGCATGTGAATCATTATCTTTGCTTTGCAATACATTAACCATAACTAAGAGCTGGCAAATCCGTCAGGTCTCTGGGGGCAGAGCAACATGGTTTGACTAGGATTTCAATAGAATTCTGAACAACTGCTTCATGACTTTAGATATACACAGGGTGGAGGGGAAGAGGTTTGGAAAACATACCACAGATTCTGACCTTGTTTTTGCTGATGGAATCAGCAGCTCCCAGCAGCGACTGGATGCAGGCAGATAAGGCCTCTTGCGATAATCCCTGAAACACTGCCCTCTGCGGGGAAGAGGACATCAGACCAACAAAAAATGTGTTAGCAAAGCTTAGGCAGAATTTTAAAGAGTTGCAGTTTGTGAACAATGTGCTTACCAGCATACAAACCTCTAGATCAACAAGCTACAGACATGTTGTCTACATGCAGTAAGACAGGATGGCGTGACACAAAAGGCTGCTACAAGCACTCAGGCTGGATACAGGCGCACTCTTGAGCACACCCTGCTTACCCTCCAGCTCTGAATTGGCACCCGGGGAGTGACATGGTGACTGACACCTCGCGCACTCAGAGCTACCAGCACGAACGATGTTTGCTGGGTAACCTGACCAGACACTTTGTGTGCCAGGGTAACTACCTGTGTTGTGCGTGCAAGTTATACCTGCAGCAGACGCAAGATCATTCGCGCGAGTTTAACCTCAAGCAAATTCAAATTACCTCACGTTTGCGACAGGTTAGTAAACAAACATGACAGCTGCCACGGCCCGGGTGACACGGAGTAACTCAATAAGCTGCAGCAACTCCATCCCATGGCTGAAGCAGCTGTAGGAACACAGCTCGTCTCCACCAGCACTGCAGTGCAGTACATGACAACCCTGACTGCCCCAAGACTTGCCAGTGCCACTTCATTCATGACTTCTCCTATCTACAGGGTGCCCGCAAGGGGCACTAGTTCTGCTAAAGTACCTCACGGGAAAAATGAGTGATTCTCTGTGCAGACACACTATAAATGAGCCTTGCAAACAACATAAACCCGACCTCATCTCCAAAGGTCTAGCTGAGAAGAAAGGCAAATACTCATCTATCTTTAATGAGATCGATATTTTAAGCAATAAAGCATTCAGATTTTCCAGCTTCTTTTTAAGCAGCAGCATCTAGGTAGCAGTTTCAAATAACACCCATAAAAAGTATTTTGAAATGCACTGTATGTATCTAATAAAGATACAACACATACAGAAAATTTTCCTCAGAGACTTATTAGCCTTTTATGCTATTAGGTGAGAGATAATAAAACAGATTCTAATGGGCAAGTCTCAAATATGTGTAAACACTGCTTTTGTTTCTGTTAGACATGTTACTATCTTAAATTACGGAAATGTCTCCTACATTTTGGAACTTGAAAAGATGTGCCACAAAAAAAAATTTCAGAACATTTCCAAAATATAGAAGTAGTAGAGTCATCATTTTTAAGACCAGAAACATCACCTTGTCTGATGTCCTGCAAAGCACAAAGAAATACATTCACCCAGTAATTCCAGCAATAAAATCATTCTCTAGAATTGACCCAGAACTTTCTATTCTTTCTTGTCCTATTCACTCCTCAACTTTGGTGTGACCAGTATCTTGAACATCAGACAATGAACTATTTCTGTAATAGTAAAAGCAATAGATGTACAAATCAGTGCCATTTTTCTAATTCTACAAGTACAAAACTGTCTTGAAAATGATGACCTACATTTTTCAGTTCTCCTGTTTTACACAAAGATAGCAGCAAAAAGACTAAGAGATAAGAGGCCAGTGATTGTCCATTCAGAATTTATATTAAAATATTTAGACATGGTGCTATCCACACTTCATCACTTCACTTAAAAAAACTAGATAAAGAAATTTTTGCATACATCTATACATCTATACAGTTTGGAGAGACACACTAGAGTCCTTCTGACAGTAGGATACCACATTCCATGCAGATCTGCTGGTGAAATCGTGGTCTGGTGCCTGGGATTAAGGGATTCAGCTGAACCTGTTTAAAAACAAAATACACACATGAGAAACTTGCTCAACCAAAGCAGACTAAGATCAACTGCACTTATACTGACTACACAGTAATAAGACATTTTATTTTACTGAAACAGGCTAATTTTTTTTTCCCTTCTGAGCAGGTCAGTACTAGATTTCTGATGTGAATAGAGCACATGACTGTAAAAGACATGAATTTGCTTTCAGGGGTGGCCCAGCTCAACCCCTTACTTTTACAGGCATGTCTCCAATGACACACACTTCCCACTCAGCTGAACAACTGAAATGATCAAACAATTACTGAAAAAAATAGCATAGCAGAAAAAAAGGGAAAAAAAAGTTAGAGATCATAGAATTACAGGAACTCTATTTTTTCCCCTGTGTTCAGGGGAAAAAAAATCCATTTATTTTACTTCCTGTTTTCTGTTTTACTGGGGATAATCCTACATTGATTAAACAGTTGCAGAAAATACAAGGTTTAAACCTCATGTTAAGAAACTGTAAAAATAATGGTAAGAAAGCAATTTTTTCACTAAGTTGTTGCAAACATAAAAAAAGTGTTCCTCCTGAATAACTTTTGTAATAATTCTGTATGCTCAAAATGGATTTTCACAACACCTGACAGACAGAAGTCTGTATTATTTTCATTTTGTCCTTAAATCAAGCTGGGAAACAGCTGAATCAATAGCATCAGAACTCTGATTTCCATTAGCAACCATTAGAAAAAAGCAAAATGTTTAAAGTTTTAGCTGATGATGGAAAAAGCACTTGTGTTTATGTGATCAGTGTGAAAATAATTCCGCAATATTATTCTACCTTTTGCAACTATAAATTTATTGTCACATTAATTGGAAAGCCTGTAAGATCAGTTTGAGGTTACTAGGCTATTTTTCAACTGCTTCTGCAGGCACTGAAATGGAAGAGAGGCACCTTTCAAGGGCAAATAATCCCAATTATCTTAGACACATATCTTCAAATTACACCTTATAGGTTCCTTCCATTTCCTGAATGCACATCAGATTTACAGGACTTGCAAATTCCATACACCTGCCTTGAAGTAAGATGAACTCCATTCTCAATAGGTTTTGTGGAGTTCAGCTGGAAACAGCCAGAAAGACTTTGGCAGGCCTTCCAAGCCCCAAGCCAACGGCAAGAAAATACCACATAACCAAAAACAATATGAGAAACAACTGATAAAGAGATGACAAAGACGTTGCTGTTAAAAATAATGTACCGTTCTGAACAATGGTTAAAAAAAAAGGAGAAATTCTTAATGGATCTTAGACAATAATTTAAAAATCTGTAACACTCAAATGACTGGCATCAAAACCACCATATTCCATGGAATTTGATTTCAGTTAACTGTAATTTACAGACACATGGGTCACAGAGCACAGCTAGCAGTAAGAAGCATCCTCAAGTACACATCTTGATGGCAGGGCTACTTTGCAATAGAGAATTCATATGAAGTAGAGCAGATGCTGTTGGCTGCAAAAGTAGCTGCTTCACATAATGGACTGCACTGCAAGCACAAAGAAATGCCACCAAAAGAATAAGATTAAGCTGTTTCTCACAAAAAATAAAAAGCTAACAACTTTGAGACAAGTTTACCTTGAAGATACATGCAAGTTTCTCACAAATGGTTCAATTCAATGCTTACTCCCCATGAGCTTTATGCATTAATCTGACAATATGAGATGTATTTCATACCAGATTTAATTAAACTGCAGGACTCGGGATCTTCTAGCCGAACATCTGAAAATGAAGCTTCAGATGGCAGCTTCTTCTGTTCCTCTTTCAAACTCTGTGCAATTTGCTGCAAAGAAAGATACACAGTAACATTAGAGTATTTTTTTTTTCTCCTTTATTCAAGCAGCCTTACATTGCTTTGGTTACAACAGAGGAAAGCACAGTAAATTGCAAAAGAAGTCAGGTACACTCAGATCCCAGTGTTTCAAAGACATTTAGAAGAAATAGACAGATGTTTCCAAAACAGTGGCAGAAACCTTGAAATGTCAATTAAAATTCACAAATACTACACAGATCTGTGTAAAGCACTGTTCCTTCCATTTTTCCTTTTTTTTACTGATCTCTAAACAACAATAACCTATGAAGCTACCTAGAAAGAGAAGCTCAAAATGGGGGAACTCAATTCAACACTCACTTGGATTTTATACAGATAATTTTTGTGATGGCTTCATTTCCATAAATGATATGTGCAGATGGCCTGAAAGTACTCTCTAGTTTATTCCCTGCAGGAGTTCAGCCAAAAGTTTTCCTCTAACATTACTCAACATTTCCATGCTTCAACATTTTTCACTACTTGGTCTGCTTCAAAGCAACAAGAGGCAGCAAGAATGGGCAAAGAACTGCATTAATATTTGAGCAGAACAGCACAAGAAATATTTCTGCCTTATGCTTTTAACATTTTAATAATTAATTTACTAAGACAGAAGGTCTCTCTAAATAGTAAGGTTTTGAGGTTTAAAAGCAATCAAGTAGCAAAACGAATCTCAGACCAGGCAACTGGAGTCTTATGAGGACAGCAGCATAATTTCTCAATTTGGAATGAACTTTCTAGCTGAAGGGCCATAGGACCTGTGTTAGAAAATAGGGCCCCACATAGATCAAGTAGCAGCATTACTTGCCTAGAGAAGTTACAGCTAACATGAAAATGGTCTCACAATCATTTTTTAATCCAATTCTATACACACAATTTTAGCAACACAATAAATAAATAATAAAAGACCCCAAACCAACTAAACAAACCTGCACTCCTAACAGTTATACTAGTAAATCTTCTGATCCATAGTTGTTCTGAATGGAGGGATCCCATTTAGTGACATGTGGTGGACTTCTCAGTTACTATTTTTGCTTTGTCTTCAAACGCTTATTAGTCCTTAAACTTTCAGTTCAAAAGAGCATGTATTCAGAAAACTCACTAGCTTTAGGGTTTGTAAATGCTTTCCTAAAACCGTATGCATGTCCCTTGTAATCATCAAAGCATAAACTGTAGCATAATAAAAGCTTTAGACATGTATAAAGGCAATGTCATAGCAATGTTAAGTTCACTGCTAACAAGTTTCTCACTGTGTTTTGTCTGTTTGCTCAAGAATTGAGCACAGTAAGGTACAACGTTCATTTCTTTCAGCCCACAGCAAAATATATATAGATAGATATGTATTACAGCTATATATATATAGCTGTAAAGCTTCTGTGTTTAGATAAGTAATGTTCCGATTCTGAAGTCAAACAACAGCTTCTCTACCAAGTGGTCAGCTAGAAATAAGTCCTACAATTTTCTAAGCACCACCACCTATTCTGGTAGCTAGATGGAAAACAGAATAGAGCAATAAAATCTGGATCCTGCCAGTCGACGTTGGAACTGCCGTTCTCAGTCAACTCAATCCTTTGACAGCTGGGGCCTCGCCTTATGAAGTGAAGGGCAACTGTTACCTGAGGGGGGAATCTTTACTATGCTTTACTGCTTCCACGCAATGCTATCCTTCAGTTGCACATCAAATGCATTTGCTCTAGTCAAAAACTACTTTCAAGTTTCTCATTGATCACTTTTTTATTTCTGTGAGTTGCTTCATTTTGAAATCTTTCATCAATTTAGTATTAACCTTTTAAAGTAAGAAAAATTAGTTTGATCCATTTCAACAGGAACATTGACTTAAAGGTCTTGGAATGACTACAAAAATGGTTAATACTGATAAGAACCTGAAAAATCCTACTGGAAATTGTTAAGTTATCTGAAGTGGCAAGCAAAGTCTCCCCTTACACTGCCTGAACAAGCGCGCAGACATACCTACCAAACATTAGTTGACTGGTAATTCTGAAAACAAACTTGCAGCTGTGACTGTCTAAAGCTACTCTTCACCTCCAGTTCAACTAAAAAATACACCAGTAATACCTACTACTTATAGGTGTAAATAAAAATTTTAGGGTCATAATTTAATCAGCAGGTGCCAATTTGATAATGACAGTAATACTAAATACATCTAAGAACTGGAAAACCCTGGCTGTAAAGCACTGTACTGCAGAACTGTGTACACTACATATAAAAAGAAAACCAATCAAGGACAATAAAAAAGCTGATGCTATACCTCCATCATTTCCAACTTGTCAGGATAAGCAAGATCGCCCGGAGCAGGCTTGTAGCCTGTGATATCAGTCTGAATGTAAATATGCGTCCTATAGACAAGACGCTCTTGTACATCTTCTAACATCTGCTTGACACCAGCTGCAAATGCACCCAGTTGTTCAGCTGACAAAGAAAGGCACAAATATTTTAATTACAAAACCAGCTAATAGAAACAAAAGTTGGAAGTATCACATACAGAACTGTCAAAAACCTGCTTGCTGCAGATGAAGTCAGATTATTTTTGGAACAGCAGCACGCAGACAAATTTGTGACAAACAAGGAATTACTGAACTCCATGATGCAGTTGCTTTAGCTCCCCAAATTTTCATTAGACTCTGAAAATTCAACCTCACACTGATTACATCAGAGGCCTTGTCAGAATTAAGCATTCTAATTATTTGAGACGTGGGTATATTAAGTGGAATTTCAGTGAGAAAAACAAAGCAAGGTGGCTTTGGTTCTATCACAGCCAATGCCTGTGGTGTGACTGTTGGGAGTGGATAACTCAGCTACCTACCAGAACAGATGATCCAAAGCAGCTCACATGCAACCTAAAAATTATTGTATCAGCCCAAATTTAAGTAGTATGAAGACAGTTCTTAAGATTAGCCAAAAGTTTAGGTCAGCAAGTTTTGACTCATTCCCAACAGTGTTACAATTATATTTTCAGAAAAGTAAGCAGTTCTTCATGATTATTGGCACAGCTTCAGAAACACTGTGTTGAAATTAGTGTGATTTCTGGTTATTGCCAGGTGCAAGTTTAAGACTATGAAAGGATTCCATTATGCACTGGTCTTATTAATACCAGGTAAGGTCAGCCCTATGAGACTTTAAGCTCTGAACACTTACACAGCTACAAAATCTACACCAGCTACCTAATTCCTCTGTTGAAGTTACAGTTTCTAATCTGAGAAACATGACATGAAGGAGAATTTAGAAACAAATCAGTTTGCATTCCTTTGTTCTATCATCATTATGGAGAAAGCTCTACATGAATGATGTATTAGCAGGGCCAAGTGAAGCAATTCATTAATTTGAAAAGTTAAATCAATCCTGCATATGCACTAGATGGATGTTTCCTTGCATTTGTACAATCTAGAGAAAACAGGACTAAAATGAGTATAATAATTTAAACGATGCTATACACAGACCCCTAAATACAGATCTTTACTATAAATAAAAAAACATACTTAATGTCAAAGATGAGGTAATGTTAAGATACACTAGAAAGAAAAAACTTCTAGGAATTGTTTTGGCCATGCAATTAAGTAATTTATCAGTTGACACTTAAAAACAATCAGTTTCCATCTGTGAATTACCATTGTTCTGTACATGATCTTCAAGCATCTCATTTTTGAGAATCCCGCAGAGTTCAGAAAGCGTCTCTAAGTGAATGACATGGATGATCATTGGCCTCAGGACATCATACAATGAAAGACACAACTTCTCCAAGAGTTCACTATGAAGTAAAACAAAGTAAAATACTTTCAGGATCGCATAGCACCAAAACATAATTTTATCACTAGCATGGACTATTTTGTAGCAAAGATTTTTGAAATGAGGGTGAGGAAACAAAGCAACACAGTGCCATAGAAGACATTAAAAAGGACTGTTTAAAACATGAACCTGTTATTTTCTACTAAGTCTTTTAAAATATGTAGGATAACAACTGCTTAAAAATGGTGGTACATATTTTAATTAATTTTAAAATAAAATTAAAAAAAAAAGACAAACAAAACCCCATACACACCAACCAACAACTGAACCTGTCCCAAAGGGAAGATACTGCAAACCAGTTTACTTGGCTTCCGTGTGAAGAAATGTTCCTGCTGAGCTCAGAATCCTAATCCCAATTTCCCCTTGAGAAAAGGTTCATCTGATACCAAGCACTCAGCAGTTTATTAGAACCAGGAGGACATGAAAAGGGACGCAGGAGGAGAGCTTGGTAACGTTTTCTGTAACAACTACCAACGCTGCAGAGCACACTTTCAGTCTAACTAAAGTTCTGATATCAATGCAATATTAAACACCAGAAATCCCACTTCAATTTATTTTTTTCTTTCACGTTGAAAGTGATGCATATCTTGGTTAAAACACCAGTAGCACCCACTCTAGACATTTTTGCTATTCTCAATGCTCCCTTCACTAATCACAGATTAAGCAATAATGCAATGAGCAGTAGCTGAAAATGCAAGTAAATCCCCAGTTAGACTTGGAAATATAAACACCAAGAGTATTTAAATATCTACAGTGTGATAAAGATGTTGAGTTTATTGAACTTTTTTTTTTTTTTAACTCACAAAGAATGTCTATCAACAGGACAAGGACACTTCTGTTCCTCTCAGAGAGGGAACAAAAATGCTCACAAAAGAATAATCACAGAAGAAGCATTTTGAATGTCTCTTCCTCTGCATCCCATAGCATTACAAGCAACTTGGTAAAACAGTAACTCCATGTTAAAAGCAAAAAGAAAGGAGAAAGTTTCACCAGCCTTATTATTATATTATTATTATTATAATACAACACTCAGAACTCTAGTCTTGGCTAGATTTTTCGTAAACTCTTTTATCTGCACATAGATACCTGGCTGTTATACCTTCAGAGCACCTCAGCACTTCAGAAAAAACAAAGAGGCTCTTTATTATGCTAAGAGAAACCTAATGAAATAGTTACTACTTGAAATGTTTTTCTTAAAGTACTTTATTTAGACGTAGGCAAAAAAGAGGAAGCAAGTTCTCAGGAAATGAGGTAACTACTTTCCACCAAGATTCAAAAATAATCAGAAGTCTATTCAGATACTTGATGTGAAATAGCACTAGTGATGAAATTTCTGTATGAACATTTTACACTAATTTCAATTAGGGATATATACACTTGAGGATTTGGACTGAGAGAGCTAAACTCTGAAGGCAATTTAGTAAAGTCAACTCAAATTCTGAGCACGTCCCACATGAAACCACTTTCTCAGGAAAGAGAAGGACTGGTACTACTCTGGCACTGTAGCTTATCTCTAGTGTGGCTTTACGTGGTTTGGTTTTCCTTTACCTTTAGGGGATGGGTAGGGTAGCGGGCAATATTTTTTCCAGGTTACACACTTATTCAACTCAAACTGCACTCAATTTAAGACATTATAACACTCAAAACTAGTGTCTCGGTTATATTAATAGAAATACATTTTTATTAAATTCACAATAAGGGAATATGACCAACACAAATTTCAAAATTAAATATCATTAAAACGTAACAGCAAATTGTAAAAGGGGTGTAAATCTATTCAACTGCTCTAATATTGCAGGTGTGTTGTAAAAAACTTACAATACTTTTACAACGCAATTACTATGTGTAGCAACATCCTATCCCTCTCCTAGATCTGGGCAGAGTAGACACAGATTCTGCTCTAGTCAGGCATTCACTACCCTGCCTTCAGTTTAGCCCATACATGGGCAGCACACAAATATTCTCTGACAGAAAGGGCAGCTCACTAACTAAATCCTTGATGAAAAATAGCTGGAGTTCATCAGCTTAATTTTACACTGAAGCAAATAAAAAGTACTTCTGCAACTGGCTGTGCAAACCACGGGCATAGAGAATGCACAAAAACAACTGAGAGCTGTAGCACTGTAAACTTCTACAGGTATTTTCAAAGTAGCTGAGTGTCTTTATCTCTTTCAGACTATCTACGGAGCACTTGCACAGATTATTTATAGAGAATGTAAACTATTCGCTTTGCTAGAAGAAAAAGGAAACAAACTTCTGATGCATAAAGTGATTAGGTTGGGTTTTTTTCTTGCTGGTTCTTACCAAACCACTTCAACACAGTCCTATCTGCCATATAATATTCTCTGCTATATTCACAGATTTCACAAAATACTCTGAGTTGGAAGGGATCCACAAGGATCATCAAGTCCACACTTAAGTGAATGGCCCATACAATCACAGCATACTAAATAAATACAACATGCAGTAAAACAAAACAAGCATGTACCACCTACTCCAGTTTTGGTGTTGGTTTTGTGAAGAACTCATTGTAAAGCTGGTGTTCATCCTGGCATACATGGACCATAAAGGCACAACCACTTCGTACCTGTATTCACAGAAATACCAACACTTGATTATTAAATTACTTTTCCTGCATCAGTATTACAAGAGATATTACACGTATTATAACTATATATCACATATTTATTATTATTATAGCTATGATTAAATTGAAGCTTTGTAAAATTCAAAATTAATGAGGTGAACTCTATGGACTGAAAAGATCTCACTAGACAAATAAAAGCTCATTGTACAACCTCTGTCCCTTTTTTGTTTCTGAAATTTAAGTACCCACAGTTTATGTCTTTTTTTTTTAATCCTCCCTCCTTTGTGAGGTTTGTAACAGGATGGAGTTTGTACAGAAACAAAACATGTAATGCTTGAAAATATTAGTAAAATTTTAATTATTCAAAACCACAGACAACAGCAACAATTTTACATGTAAATGATTGAATTAAATAAGTACATTTTACTTGGGGTAGAGGTGATTAAGATGTAACAAAAACTACATAACACAAGACTACTTTACCTACCAGAGCACAATGATCTCTGTTGTTCTGACTGGTTAATTCTGTAACAGTGCTAGCGATACTTGGACCAAGCAAGAGCTCCCTCTGGTCGAGGTAACATTGATGGATTTCATTGAGAACTTGTTGATACCTATCCAAGAAATTAGAACAGAAGCTGCATCCTGAAGATCATTTTCCGGTACACATAAAATGCATTCTAATACCCTCTTTTAAGCCTATATAATTATGATTTTTAAAACTTTCTTTTAAATGAATAATGTGTTTAACAGTACTTTAAAGTAAATATTTTCAAGACTTAAAGTTGTTGAAGACATATTATGTAGACATACTCACTCTGGCATTTTTTCAGATCTTTGCTCTACTTGTTCAATTAGAGTCTACTCAAAAAAAAAAAAAAGGAAAAAGTATTATTAGTACATTATTTTTCTGTAATAATTAGAAAACTGCTTGCAGTATTTTTCCATGGACAAATTATACAATCTTTGGATATTCACACTCGCACAATATGCAATCCTAGCATTTACACTAATAAATTCTAACCCCATTTTCATAAGTTCTTTTTCAAAAGTTAGTCACCAGCCTACTTACTCTGACTTTGGGAGCAGCTGCTCTGAATTTTACATAAAATAGCGTGAAGGCATTGTCAGAATTTGGCACAGCTGAAGGATCCTGAAAGAAAAAATGAGTAATGGATTAGACAGCAAACTACTATATTTGGCTTCTAGTTTATAATGGCCAAGATAATTAGGCTCTAAAACAGGGTCTTGGTTCTTTATGCTTATACTGCCAATGGAATAGCTCTTTGCCACCTCCCACCAAGAAAGACATGCTGGCTTCAGAATTCAAAGTCAGATGGAAGAACAAAACCCAAAACAAAAGTTTCAACTAACAGCCTCTACAGCAAAAGTAACATTTTCAGTAATTATGACATTCTCCATTAGAGACAACAATTCTCTCTGGACCTGCCACAGTAGCACTGATTGTTGGTCCTTAATCTATAGTACTACAATGGAACAGAATTTCCCTTTTACCTGCCAGTCCCAGGGCAGAGAAACTAAGTTTCAGCTTGCATTCAAGCTCTAACTGGAATATCAAGTGTTGAGGCAGCTCCCTGCAGGCCCCCAACCCAGATGGGCAGAGCTCGAACTTAGACAAATTCTAGCACTAATGAAGCAGAGCAGAGATCCAATTTAGCCACTAAAGAAGTTTTCTTCCCCTTATCCCTACTGATGACACAGAGAAAAGCAAATAGCTGCCTTTTGAAACATGGCAGGGACAGGAAAATGCTTCCACCTTTCCCACCTCCTGCTGTCATCCCTATGAGCAACCTGATCACCCATTTATAAACACAGAGCAAAATCCCAAAACATTCACATGTGAGTAACAACAAAGAACATCCAGATCTCATCAGTCCCTTTACAGCCCTGACAAGGCCTCTTGATTTGTTGCAACAGGAAATCTCGACTAAAAACCACTGTTTCAGTACTGCACTTCTAGCAGAAGCAGGCACTAGATGTTTCAGAGAAATATGCAGAACATCCACAAAGTCCCCATGTACGTCGGAAGAAAGAGGTCATCTGACTCCTACAAGAGATATCCTTTCTGACTTAAAACTCCAAAGTGGCAATTCAAATCCAGAAATCCAGTTACACACTTCTCTCTGTAAACATTATTCTTATTAGAGATGTTTAATTCTCCTTAAATTCAGCTCAGTCATAGCAATCCACTGGCATCAAACCAAGCTGTGATACCTTTTTTTATAATAAAACCTAGTTTTGTACCAAACATGAAAGATGTTCAATGCTAGTTAACCGAGATCTTCACTCCAGTAGTATTCTTTTGCAAGTTTCCATGAACACTAAAATCCCCTTCATCTAAGTCTGTCAATTCTCAATTCTAGCACCTTTCAGTTTCACTGGTTATCCCTCAGGACACCAAGTTTGCCTGTAATAGGACTGAGCACAAAGCACATGACAATTATTTGAAGAATCAAAGTGGGTAGAAAGAGACATTCCTCTCTCCTTTCTCCTCTGCCAAAATATTATAATACACAACTAGCAACATTTTAGTGAAAGCAAAAAACCTCCCTACTCACCTTTATGCTTAAATCTCACCAGAATGAGTGAGAGAAAATACCTAACTTTTCCCTGGAACACTCTAGTATCACTGTCAACATTTAAAAGCAAAACAAAAGACACTGGCAAAACTAGGAGGAACCTGTCACAGTTGTTCTCTGCAGCTACACAAACCACTGCAGAAAAAAAAGAAATATTTAGATAAGCAAGAGTACCCAAAAAATTACTGGAATATAATACTGAAACGGTCACGGCACAAACTCAAGAGTTGTGCTTTAACAATTCTCATCCTATAGCACCCAGCTCCTGTATACTTTTTCCAAGTATTCCCTGCAACCTCTCTCTGTCTCCAAAGCAATTCATCTCCAAAACAGACCCCCATAGTCCCCTATTTCTCTTGTGTACCCTCCTCATTTGGCAACAGAGACAGCAACGTGCACTGCAGCTGATTCAGAGCTGCAGTGAACATGCTGGTCCAGGGAAGCAAACTGTCTGGCCAGTTGGATACTGCTGCTCTACCACAGCTATTTATCCATCCCTGGCTTTCACTAAGGTTACTGCTCACCTACATCAATTTAGCTACTTCACCTTCAAATTCCATGATCTTTTAATCATTACTATTTTGAAATCTTTTGGATCACTAGGTCTCTCTTATTTTTGGCTGAAAATTGGACAACCTAAAGAAACACCATAGCACCGACCTATTTTCACAAAAACCTGCTGACGCCTTCCACCCTTAAAATATTTTTAAAAATAGAAGAAAACTGTATAGTGTTACAATACACATTTCAGTACAGCTCAAGTTACCACTTCCTGATTCACTCTTACCCTTTTCATTAACTGGGTTGTGAGGTTCTGTAGTGTATTCACAGTGTATGTCTTGATAAGGTGCATAGCTTTAGAAAGGCATTGCTTAAACTTGTTCAAATATACAGGATAGTCTTTAAAATTTGGCTGAAAGAAATAAAAAAAAAAACGGTTTTAAACAGAAACAGTAAGTCAAAAATTTATCAAAACTCCATATACCCTTATAACTAGCTAGAAATGCTAGATTGTACCAACTAAAAGCAATATTTTATAAAAATTAAAAGGATAGTAAGAATATTCAGTAAATATTTCCTAAGTTTATAAACCATATTTGACTTCTAAGTGTATTTGGCAAAGAGAAGTTTTTATAGGAAAAACCCCACAAAAATAGTACAAACACACAGTTTTGAAGATTTAGTTGAAACTAATACAGAATTACTTACATGTGATGAAATATACGCAATACAATCATCAAGCTTAGCCAGCATGGGAATGAATCCTTCACTGTTCACGGACAGCGTAGGGGAATTCAATTTCTTTGGAAAACAAGACAAGATATCATTGTATGGAATCCAAACACGTTATTGTTGGCGACAAAGTTCAAAAGATTGGTATGCTTTCATTTTCTAAGATGATTAACAGTAAAATATTACTTACAGTGTTTATGTTTTCCAGCTCGTTAAAGTAAGAAAGTTTCTGCTGAATGTTTTCAGCCAGGTCAACAAGTTCTGACTATTAAAAAAACAACAAATAAAAGAATATCATCATCCCAGCAGGTAGTTTAAATATATATTTGTATATATCTAGAAATATACATATAAAATTATTCAACCTCCCTTTCAGCCCTCAGCACACACCACTGTTAAACAGTCCTAGATAACTTGCAACTAATGAAGTACAACAAAAGATGCAGAATACAATAGTGCTCTCTTGCTCTCTCTTACCAGAAAATGACACATAACTCTCAGTAGTGTATTTAAGAAAATATATTCTACAGGTTTGTCAGTACTCCACAGGCACTATTGCATACAAAGAGCAACGCTGCCATCAGTATTAAAGAGAATAGTAGAAATCCTGCATTTTAGGATTGGAGTCTTAAAAAAGTTCTCCCTTATCCAGTCTTACTAAAAATACACGTTCATATTATCACTGTTGGAGCAGTTCACAAGGGGAAAGAAAGTATCTGGGAAATAAGCTTGCAACTTTAAAAGATCTTTCTCCTTGTGACAACATAAAATACTTCTATAAGTGATTCTTACATAATACTTCTGTAAATTAATCTCAATACAGTTTGCACTTGTCAGGCATCAGTTAAAAAAGCTGATCTCAGCTAGCTATCTTTCTTGATTAAAGCATATATTGACACATACTGAACATTCTACTGCAGAGCCTGACACCCTAAGTACAGGTGAAGCACACCCGAAAAATGAGGTCCAAAGCAAATGGAAAGATTGTAACTACAGTTCACAAGTTTTCCCTGCCAGAGAAAAAGAAACTTGTTAAGATGTCTTTTAAGTTTCTAGTAATCCTCCCATCAAAGATTACCTGCTCTTTCAAAAGCTGTTCACAGGCCTCATGCAGTGTTCCTGTCTTTGTGGACACAAAAAGATACTGTTTTTGCAGTGACTCCAGGTGCTGAAGGGCACTATTCACATCATCCAAGATAGCATCACACTGCTCCTGAAAGCCAGACAAGTAATCCCTCATCTGTCTAGAAAAAGAGAATCAACAGATAACAGAAGTAAAATTTCCCTTTCTGTATTTGCAAATCCAGCTGCCTGCAGGGACACTGCCACCACCTTTCCCTCTCTAGGAATAAAAGATCGCTTGCATAAAGCAAGAGTGCACAATAAGCAGATGTTTCATGGACCGCAGAATAACAGAGCTAAAGAGTTTGGAATAGCAAGGCTGCTACCCTTTTTAGGTTCCTCATGATCTGATCTTGGGCTTAGTATATGCCTAACCCTCTGCTTTTAAGAAAAGTCATGTGCCCTCAAATGTCAGAGCAAAAGAAGAAGAAACAGCCCAAAGAAAAGCAGATAAAAAACAGAAGAGGAAATAAAGGAGCATCTCTTTGCAGCCAAGGGCAAGTTTGTAAAGTCTCAAAACACAAGCCAGTTTCAAAAAAAGCCATCAGCAGATTTAGCTAAGCCATTCAGCTGTACTTCAGACTCTCAAGGAGTAAATGTCAAAGTCAGTGGGAAGGGGTTCTTCAGAGCCTGATGGGAAAGTCAGGCAAAAACAGATGAGAATGACAAGCCTCCAAACTGGAGTTGAGCAAAAAGTGTCAAGGAATGCAGGGAATGCAGATACAGGATCACAGCCATAGTCACTGGTGAGCCAAATGGTGAGAGCAGAAATGACTACCAGCCACATCTGCTTACACAGTCTCACCCTCAGAGGATGCCATTCCAATGGCAGCAGCAGTTGAAAAAGCATGGGAAAACTTGGACTGTATTCGTCTATAGCCCTGTCTGTACGCCACAACTAATTTCCATCTGTCTTAATATACTGGGCAGTTCAGAAGGAAATCTGCATCCCCTTTAACTACTCTGCCACAAGGGCAATGGCCTTCAGGATGGGAGTGAGTCACACTGCCTTGGAAAGCTTCAGCTGCTCCAACACAGTCACCCATTTTCCCCCCAGCCAAATCTGAACACGGGCTGACATAAATGGACAAGGTGAAGTCCTTCGAGGTTTGAACTGCTTATAGTGAAAGGAACTGAGGAAGAGCACATACCTATACTTGGCACCGTCATCTTGATCCATCTGAGTTTGCACCTGAGCAAACCAGGAGAAGAACTAGAAGAGATTTTATGGTGTGAACAATATAGGTACCACATGCAATCAATTAAAAAAAAATCCAATCTATGATCTATGAAATGAAGATGACCTTTTGTTAAAAACAGAGCTGTTTCAGAACTCAACTATTAATAAAGGAAACAAATTCCTCACTGTAGGTCTCTTCTAACTGAAACATTCTATTCTATGCTTTCACTAAATTAAAATGGGAAAGACTGAATGTCATCTGGTTTTATTTGCAAAAGAACAAAGATGTCACACTAGAAAGTGGGGAGGGTGCAGGACATTCTACATTAAGAGTAACACCACCTTACTGAAGAGGTGCCTTACTCTCACATAGGACTCTACTCCAAATGGGAAAAGTATCTGTCACTTAAAAGCTGGAATTTTAACAATTTTTCCACCCCAAGTTCCCCCTTATGCTTCTTGAAAACAGCCCTAAAATTTAGCAAACCCACCAAAAGCTAAGTGAGAGACACAGAAACTAACGTAATTCTCCAAAGATTACGGCATCTTGGAGGTTATTCAGCATCACTTACCTGCTGTGCTGTTTCAATTCTTTCATCCTCCATCCCCAGTGCTGCAAACCCTTTCAAAAGGACATCCTCTGTGGATTCTGGCACCGCAGCCGTCAGCATAACAGGTAGTGACTGGGACGTCAGGCTGCACATATCCTCAATTGGAAGCTACTCACAAAACCCCAAAAGCTTTAGTTAGAGAACTCACAGAGAATTAGTACATGCAGCTCAACTACAACACAATCCAAAGCAACAAGATGAGAAAATTACAGGCATCTACTTTTGAAGAAACAAATGCAGGGGACATTTATCTATCAATATGATTATCGAAGAATCAGTATGGCTAGAAAAGATCTCGAAGATCATCGAGTCCAACCATTACACCAACAACTAACCACCTATTCATTCAGAAACACCTAACAATTTTATTTTAAGTTAAAGTCAGAAAACACTGTACAGCATTTTACGTAAGTACATGTTTGTCTAAGAACAGAAACTGAAGGTACATGTATCTGACGTTGATAAGCTACATTTTATTTTCCAGTATAACTGGTTCTAACCCAGAGAGAGGCACTACAAAAGTACCTGAGAGCATAAGAACTCAGAACTGACACAGAAGCAAAAAAAAAAAAAAAAAAAAGCAAACCTATTGTCCATGGTACCTGGCAACACCATCACATGGGAATTGTCAGATTTTTCTGCTCAAGTAAAATTCAAGACTTAACACTGCCAGAATTCATTCAGAAGAAAAGGAATAGCTCTGCTAAATGGGAATTATTTTTTAGCCACAATTATTTTAAGTGAGAAAAAGATGGGAATAAAAGTAACATGAGATAAATTGTATTTAATTATGACCAGAGACTATTAATTAGTTTACATGGAAGAAATTCAAGAAGACAAATACTGTTACATACATTTATTTAATGTAATAGTCTCTTTAAATAACATGACGAGCTGGATGTTTTCAATTGCTGAAAACATCAGTAAGGTACAAACAGAAAACACCACTTAAAATACAAATTGGTATCTCTCTAGAAAACGACTTGCTTAGTAAAATAATCACTGCCTGGCAATATTAGTCCATAAAGAAAGAACATTCAGGATTTCAACTATTTGAGAAATGACAGATTGTTGTATATTGTTCAACTTGCACACACCTCTCTTCCTTGCCTTTTAAAATAGGCAGGACTCTAGGAGTGGAGCCAGGGTTTCTCTCATGTCTACTACTGAGAAATAGGTAAATCCATCAGACCCTGATTTCCCAGAACAGTTAAGACACCACTGTCCCAATCCACTGAAGAATTCAATGTCTTGGTATCACCATCGTCCTGACTACCAAATACGGTACCTGCCCTATTGCAAAGCTGGTTTAGATCCTCAAGAACATCCTGTGACAGCAGCACATCCTGCTACAATCATTTTGGATGCCTGCCAATATTTACTTTTTGCATACAATTACACAAGAAAAGAAACCAGGAAGAATGAAATAAAACAGCTGCATTTCTGGTAGGAATTGCTTTACACTCCCCCTTTGCTATTTAGAGCTTTCTGACACTTGCTGAGAGCCAACTTTCTTGATTCTATGGCACTGCATCTTCAAATACAAAGCCTCTCATGAAAAGCATAGACAAGGAATGCAAACGTTCCATTCCACTTCCATTTGTGAACAAGGGAGTATTCACAAATAAGCACTTTGTCAGAGTTCATTATTCTACAACTGAGCGGGAGACCACATCCTCTGTGGTGTTGACAAATTATTAAGCTTTTCACCGCTATTCCAGGCTTTACACCCTCGCTGGATCGCCTGCAAGTCGTACCAGGAAGTAACACTGGCGCCAGCAGCTATGAACTGATGAGGATCACACTAAAAGGACCAAAAGAACGTAGCTCCACGACTAAAGCTCTCAATTCCGAGAGGGCAAACTTCGGTGAGCTGAGGGACGCAGCGAGGGCAGGCACGGGGATGCTCAGGGGAAAGCTGCCACCGCTGCCTACAAACCCTGCGACCTGGGGCGGGCAGTGGGTATGAGGCGCCCCGGGAAGGAGGCAGGAAGGGCGAGCCCTCCCGACTGCAACTGCCGGGACAACCCAGAACGCGAAACGCTTCTGAGCCCCCGAGCCCCGGGGAGCGGCGGCCCCGCAGGCCCCGCCGGCCGGGCCGGGCAGGCCTGGCGACGTGGCACCGTCGCCGCCCCCGCCCTCTCGCCACCTCCCCGGGCCGGGCGGCGCCGCCGCCTCACCTCGGGCGGCACCGGCAGGTTCTCGGCCGCCGCCTTCAGCTCCAGCACCGACTCGGTCTGGCGGTCGCTTAGCGGCGCGGTGGGCTGCGGGCGGCGGTCCCACAGACTGAGACGGTCCCGCACGTCCCTGCCCGCGGGCGGCGGCTCCGCGGGCGGCGGCTCCAACATGCTGCTGCTGCCGGTGCTGCTGCTGCCGCTGCTGCCGGCGGCGGGGCCAGGAGCGGGGCCAGGCCGGGCCGGGAGCGGGGCCGGGAGCGGGGCGGAACGCCGGGAGCGGGGCGGCGCTTCCGGGGGAGGCTCGGCGCGCGTCGCGCCGCGTCGCGCAGCAGTGGCGTCATTCACGGCGGGAAGAAGCGCGTCAGGGAGGAGCGGCCGGCCGGGATGGCGCCCCTTGGCGGCGGGGAGGACTGCGGGGTTGGCTGCGGCATCACCGCGCTCCCGAGTCGGTCTGCAGGATCTCAACAAATGATGGAAAAGACCTCTGAGATCATCGAGTCCAACCTGTGACCGAACACCACCGTGTCAACCAGACCATGGCACTGAATGTCACGTCCAATCTTTCCTTTAACACCTGCAGGGATGGTGACCCCACCACCTCCCTGGGCAGTCCATTCCAATGTCTAATCACCCTTTCTCTGAGGAAATTCTTCCTAACGCCCAATCTAAATCTCCCCTGGCACAGCTTAAGACTCTGTCATCTTATCCTGTCACCGGGGAGAAGAGACCAACCCTCACCTGGCTACAACCTCCTTTCAGGAAGATGTAGAGAGAGCAATGAGGTCTCCCCTGAGCCTCCTCTTCTCCAGGCTAAACACCACAGCTCCCTCAGCCTCTCCTCATACAACTCATGCTCCAGACGCTTCACCAGCTCTGTTGACCTTCTCTGAACACACTGCAGAACTTCAATGTCCTGCCTGCATTGAGGGGCCCAGAACTGAACACAGCACTCAAGGTGCAGCCTCACCAGTGCTGAGTACAGGGGGACAATCATTTCCTTAGTCCTACTGGGCACACTATTTCTGATATAGGCCAGGATGTCATTGGTCTTCTTGGCCACCTGGGCACACTGCTGGCTCATGTTCAGCACACTCAGCACCCACAGATCCTTTTCTGCTGAGCCACTTTCCAGCCACTCTGTGCCCAGCCTGTAGCGCTGCAGGGGGTTGTTGTGGCCAAAGTGCAGGACCTGGCCCTTGATCTTGTTTAACCTCCAGGCACAGGCAGCCCTGAAGTGCTCCCAGGCAGGGACCACCATGTCCATGGCTCTACCAGAGATACCCATGGGCAGTCTGGCAGATGGCTTGTTCTCTGCATTCCCTGAAGCCTTCTTTCCTAAGGCAGCAGAGGTAGAGAACCTACAGGACAACCCTGGAGGTCATGGTGCCTCCCTCCAGGCCACCCTGCTTAGCCACATGGAAATACTGGTGTAACAGCTGGGTCTGGCTGCTGCAGCTGTGCCAGTGATCCAGTTTAACATGACAACTAAAGGCCTCCTGACAACTCCACTATCAGATTTGTCTTGATGGGTGCCAAACCCCTGCCTGACACCAAGAGGACACCCCTGTGTTTGCCCGTCCCTTCCATGGGCTCCAGCACTTCCCTAGCCCACAGCAGGGAATCATCACACCCTTTTCCACACTAGTGGCTCCCCCTCAAGGGTCAGGACAGCACTGAGGAAGTACAGGGTCGGTAGGTAAAGACCAACATTTTGACAGTGCACACAAACATCACCACCCAACTTTATCATTACACAGTAAATCCTAAGGTACATCAGAATTAAAGAGCTTGAAAATAGCTTGTGGTCTTCACTGCAGTAGTCACCTTCAGCTGAGATCCTGAACTCCTGTTTCACTGTTTGGATGCCTTTGGTGCTAAGCAATTCATCTCAGTCCACCTTGTCCAGCTGTCCCACAGATTAACTGATTCAATGCACTCCTACCCTGTCACTCCAAACTGGTGTGTTCCTCAGCCCCTCAGAGCTGGTCAATCACACTTGTCCTACCACCCCTGAACTCTAGAAATCCATTTTGGTAAATAAAAAGTAATAAAATTATTTTGTTGCTACACAAAACTAAGCTGATTGATCTGTTCCATACCATGCAGTTTTCATAACAGAGTGGGAAACTGTGTTGCAATTCAACACATGCCAAAGAACATTGAAAACCTATGGTTAATACATGTTGTTCAGCACCAAGTTACAGGAACATAAGCTTTTAACTACAGCAGCTTTAGTCCACCTTGGCTAATTAACCAATAGCACCAAACAATTCTATGCCAGCAACAGCTTTCCTCTGTTAATCACCTTGAAGTATTTGAGCCCCACCCCCCGCCATTTAAAACGTAGAAACTGAAAGCAGTTCAGAGTCATTACACAATGATTTTAACACTTTTAATAAGCTTAAAAATGTCAAACATACACTTTGCTTATACAGTGTACAAAAATATTTACAAGTCTTTCTATTAAAGCACAGAAAGTACAGAAATAGTTGTAAGGAAAACCACTGCACATCCGAATACCCATATATATAGAAAACATTGTACTTTAAGAAAGAAAGTGCCTTGTGCATTTAAAAATCCATTCGTGAATTCAAAATTAGTAATTATAAGTGATTATAACAGTTTTGAAAGCACAATGAAATTCTCGAAGTGGAATGCAGGATTCTATGAAAAACGTGTAAAAGATTAACACAGTGCCACAAAAAATCCAAACCTGTGCATCCTGCTTTGCTACCTGCTATAAACACAGAAAGTTCATCATAGGAGTTGTATCTCACCATTCCCTTTCCTGGAATCAAACAGCAGCCTTTAATAAAAATGTAACTATTTAAAGGCCCTCAAGTTTTGATACGCCCTTAAGCCCAAAGGTAATGTTTTATAAAAGTTGTGGTTGATTTCTGCATAAAGTGTTTCCATGCCTGTAACAGCAACTTGAGCCCTCTTTGGTATATGGAAGTGCTGAGTAGTTTGGGCTTTCCTTCTTTTTAAAGAAGGAAAGCAATCTTTATTGAAGATTTACCTTTGGAGGGGATAGTTCTTTTCACAGAGACACCTACATGACACAGCCTGAACTGCTTGGTGCACCTGTCAGATTACAGGTAACAGCCAGTAACCAGTACAAGTAATTCTCCCCAACAAAAGAGGCATGAAAAGTTTCTCTGCAAGATCAGCAGATATCCATGAACTTGTTTGAACTTCATTCCTACTTGGAATTTACATATGAATATCTTGAAGAATCACTTATGCTGAAAGTCATCATGATACATTGGAAAACACTTTCCTCAAGCTATGCAAAACTGCCAACTCTAGCAACCACACTTGCAAATGAAGCTGGATTATTCCCAGCAGATTACACAGACATCTAAGGATTTAGAACACAGGAAAGCTCCAAAATGAGAAGCAGATTTTGTACTGCAGTAGGTATTTTGCAATGCAGTAGGTATTTTGCTGACCTGAAAGCCTGAAAAGGTGGCTTGTGACACTTCCAATTAATTAGAAGCCTTAAGCTTTTACACTCAAATTGTATACACTTCTGAAAGGAGGAAAAGCCCAGCTCCTTGGTACTGCCTATCTTTTAGAAAAATCGTTTTTCCTTTACAGAAATCTTTTTCCTTTCCTTACAGAAATACAGAAGAAAAAAAACCTGTTCTTTGCCTCTTACAAAAAACTGTGGATGAGTCTCAACAGCATAAAGTTATGTTACATATCTTCTCATTCAAGAGCACTGAAACAGTTGACAGAGGCTATTCCACCATGTTTGTTTCAGTCTAGAAAATAGTGCACATAGTCCACAAGCCATGGTTACAGGAGCCAGTTTGCCTTGAAATCACTTCCAGGTTCTTCTCACTCAACAGTCTTGCAGTGACCTCTTCCTACAGCCAGCAGCTCAGACAATAAAGAGCAAATACACAAGACAGCTTGCACATTGCTCTAAACTCAGATAGTACATTAACAGAATTCCATATGCAGCTCAGCATGTCAGGCATCCAATTTCTTCAGCTGTTCATATGTCAGAAAGAACTGGGTCAGCTGATTGAGGAAAACTGTTTCCTGTTCATGCAGTGCAAATCGGTCACTTCACTACTAAAGGACAGCTGTGTCTGTGTGAAACTTTGTTCCCTCCTATGCCATGCTCCAGGTTGGTCACTTTTTTTACCCAATACTAGGCAGAACAACGAAACTTGCTTTAAGGCTGGTGTTGCCAATTACTTTCCTATCTCTATTCCACAGGACTGGGGAGGCAGGAGAATACTGCAAAAGCCCTTAGAGTCTTTCCTCACTTAGCTTTGAGGGGCTATGGGAGGTTTGTTCATGGCAAAGAAACATTACTACCAACCCACGTCCCAGGGCTCTGATCAGCTGGCTCTTGAAATAAAACCAAAATTGTGTGAGACTAAGATAAACAAAAAGACTGCATCAGTAATTGCCAACAGTTTCCCCCGTTCTGGAAATAGTCCCCATTCTTAACTCATCTGGTCAATTTTATTTAAAACTAGGTTCAAAACTAAGGAAGTGGACAGGTATGACATTGTAAGAACAGAGAATTATTTTGCAAGATCACATTTTAATACTCACTCTGTGTGAAACTGACCAGCAGCAGTTGACTAAAAATACCTGTCAACTACACAATTTCCTATTCATAAAAAGGGAATATCTGTGCTGATAGGACACTTTCCACACTGTGGAAAGCAATACTTGCTGTTGTATGGCTAATTTAATAGTCTTGAACACATTTGAAAAGGATACAATGATATTCCAAGGACCAAGTCTTAACCAGTTTGGCCAAAACCCTTTATATAGAGCAAAAAAGCCTTCATTCTTCCATGTCTAGGAAAAAAACCAAAACAAACAACAGAATAAGAACATACTTATGTAATTCTTTATTAGTGAGAAATCTAGACAGCATCTCAGTTAACAGGACTATACCAGAAAAAAGGAGGGTTTAGTCCTGTAACCTTCATTTAAACATATTGTATGATGGGACAAAGAAAAATGTCACTAGATAAAACCAAGATTAGTAATGCCTGCAGCATTACCGGGCCGGTAAAGTTGCAGTCTGTGTAATTCAGTACCCAACACAGATTAATCCAAATTGCACTCCTTGACTTCTTCCCACCAAAATAAGAAAAAGCCTTGCAGAGTTCTGCATGAAAGCCTTTAGCTCACATTAGGCATTTCCTTGAATTTTTTTTTTTTTAACAGACTCCAAAAAATTTCGCTGGACAGCGAGACTTAGACTGTTCAGTCAACAGTTGGACACCAATAGCTTACTATCCATTCTTCTCCAGGTAAAAGACTGCCATGCTCCCACCTCATACCAAATTTAGAGATTTAAGAAACCAAATCAAGTAATCAAGATTAGAGACTGACCTTGCCTCTGGCTGTACTTGGCTTTCCATTATGCAGTAAGCAACAGAGGAAAAAAAAGCCACCTGTCCCAGAAGATCTTGTTCTTCAAGAACTGAAAATTATCATTTCCTATCAGCCTGACATAGTACAAAGTTTCGTAAGACAGAGCTCTGCTGAGAGCCTTAGTCTCTTCATCCAAGCACCAAAAGGAAGTAAGGGCCCATAGCAGACACTAAGTTTCTTCCTGCCTTTCTGTCAAGACAGTAGTTACTTTCCAAGCCAAGTCCATTACTGCCAGTTTAGCCCCTTTGAGAATTATGGCAAAAAGCATACCTAAGTTACTAGGATGAATTTCTAGGGAAACAGAAAAGTTGAGCTCTACTCCAAAATCATTGATTGATGGCAGCAGTATTTATGTTGATAATAAATTACTTACTTGTAACAAGCAATCCAAAGTGCCCTTGTAGTTCGAGTGTCCCCCATGTTGACTTCTCTGATTCATCATGCGTGTTCTTACAACATCAACTGGGTTGGATGCAAGGGCTCCAGCTAATCCACAAGCAAAACTTGAGCTAATAAAAGAAAGGTTTAATGAAATTTGATCTACCACATTTAAAGATGCACAAGAATTCCCCTTCCTCAGGAAACACACAGTAGTGGTAGCTGTTTAATGCTTTTAACTAAAAGTTACATCAGCTAATCGATATGAAAAATTACTTTTCATTTACTCTGAAAAGCAGTTTTTTGAAGATCTGCTATGCAGCACTCATACAGTATGCTTGAAGAGATGTTGTGCCCCTGTGAATAATACCTAACTAGAACTTTGCCAGCAAATTCTAACCTCAGTTTGCACAGCTGAATGACTCAGACCACCCACAAAACAAATTTCCATATTTCAAAAGAAAGTTAAATCCAAATCCTAAATAAAATTAGCTTCCATGCCACGTGCTGCCACTTGAGATGTTATTATATTAAAAGTTATAAACACATCAGAAGTATATTTACATCTAGACTGATGACAGAAAAATCAAAATACTGATCCCCCATGACAAGAATTAACCAATGATGAACTACACACAGTTACACAAACTTACAGGAAGTGAGTGTATACTGTGTCTCCCATAAATCCCGACATAATTATGTGCTTCTTGGTAAGGTCATACACAGGCAGTTCCACTCCAACAACAATAGCAGCTCTCTGTGCTGTCAGTGATACTCCCTGGCAAAAGAAAGGATATAGCTGAAGTTTAAAGTCAACCTTTGTGCACTAGCAGGAAAGCCAAGCTCTTATAATACCAAATGACACCACAAACATGTTAAGAACATTATTAATTCAAATAAGGCTAATTAATACAAATCTTAGATTGTATGTGCTCCAAAACCACTAATTTGAAATAAAATTTTTCCACAAGGAATAGTGATTTCATTTCCTTTATGCTATTTTCTCTCTCTGCCTAATTTCTCAATTCTTGCATCCACAGTCAGCTAAAACACCAGAAACTGTGTTCCTTCTCTGCTAACTGAAAAACTCACAAAGTAAAGAACATGAACAGAAAATGGGAGATCAAGAAACTTTGCAGAGAAAAGCAGACTAATAGAAAAGCATTTCTATTTCCAGCTGTTTCAGAACAACTGTCTACTTTGTGTCTTCAGTTGTTATACAGTCATTTACTGTAGTTGGCAAAAGAGGCAATCTATAAGACTGAATATGAGAATCTCGAGATATAGGGAATGTTCATTAGTACCTCTGCTACAGTGTTCTTCAGTATATGTTTTAAAACAGACAGAACATTCAGGTGTCATGCAAAAAGTTGTTGAACTAGTCCTAGAGCCAGTCACCCTAATTGAAGCCTACATTTGTTTTCCCTTTTCTAAGTGGCGGCTAATCCCTGAACACGACTGGCAGTAACCCTTCATCTAAAAGCACTGGGACACCAGTAGTGAAGCAGTCATGACAAATGACATACATATCAGCTCTTCCATTATTCAGCTGAGAATGCTGTAGAAATACATGAAATTCAACTGAGCAAAAAAGTGTACTTAAAAGTGTAAGATATAGTTAAAAAAAAAACAAACCCAAACCCAAAAATACTTGCCTTCCATAATCCTCTAGTGCCTTCCTTTTGGTAGATCTGTATGAAGTTCCCCATCATTCCTCCTTGAATCATACTACCTTGGGCTTGCATTCTGATCTGAGATTCATTTGAAGACAAAATTAAAAGGTAAACACTTTTCAAACATACGACCAAGAAAATAGCTTAATACAGTTTTGTTATTAAGTCACAATTTTAATTAGTAAAGTCAATTTCATTTGAATATAAATTTAAGAGCTGTCATTATCATAACCATAATCTTTCGCCTTAACTACCCAAACGCAGCTGCTAATTTTGAACAAGTATGTGGTAGAATTCTTAGCTGCATTAAGTCACTTCTATTTCTGTATGGGTACACTTCATTTAGATTAGACTGACAGACGGGTTCTGCAGGATGCCCTTGACAGTGTTCTCACAGGAATATACTGAAATGAAAGGTTAAGATATTAATGTTTCAGCCAGTGAGAACCATGGTCTTTGACCCTACAGATTTCTAAGAAAGCCCTTAGAAACCTGCCACAGTAACTTCCAAGTACAAGTTTTGCAACAAGCACTTGGTAAGTGGGACATAATTTTGAGTAATAACTAATTGGAGCCAGACTTGAAATACAGGGTTATTTTTGAAATGCCACTACATAACCACAATAGCGTTATGAAGGGTTAAGTTTTTTAGTAGTTTCAGAACAAAGTTTTCTTTACTTTTTTTTTCAAGCAGCTATTTAAGTCACAAGCCCCAGTTTTGTAAGATAAATACAATCAACCCTTTCAAATAACTGAATCCCATTACTTCACAGATTATTCTGAGTTGGAAGGGACCCACAAGGATCATCAAGTGCAATTCTAAATGAATGACCCATGCAGGGATCAGACTCATACCTCGGTGTTATTATCACCATGCTCTGACCAACTGAGCTAATCTGATAGATTTTTAAAGACATGGTCATTTCACCAATTCACTTTAAATGACTGATGCTGGAACACTATTTCCATGGACTATAGGATTGCAAAGCCTCTCTACAGGGTTAAAGGACCATACAGTCCAAGTAGCACTCACTGGAACTCTTCCCTCTGAACTGATCTTCATCTATTTTGAGCTCTAGAAACATCCTAGTGTAAAACAGTGTTACCAAGCAGTACAGACGAAATAGGTAGCGTGGCTTCCACACAAACACTACAGCATGAAAGTCAAAAAGAATTGTCATCTATTATTCTCTCACAAACAGTTACGTGTATCCAACTACCTCCCCAGCCTTCAGTTTCCTCATGTATACTTCCAAATAATTAGTATGGACAAGAAGGAGGTTTCAAGAACTCAGGATGTTACTGATTTTTCAGAAGTTAAAAGATGAGAATAAATAGGCCTACAAAACAAATCCTATATTCATCAAGAGATTCTGCATTTCCTCAGTGAGAGAACAAAAACCAAGGACAAACTCTATAATTACCTTTAGGACATCTGTAGGGTTGGCAATAGATGATGAGATTACTCCAGAAAGAACGCCACACAGAACATTTATCATCAGGGTTTCATCTATTTCGCAAACAGAGAAAAAGAGTTTAGCTGCAGATTTACAAATCTTAAGATGCATCAGGACAGGATGATGCTTCCCCTCCTTTAACCAGAGAATGCCAGTCACAGAAGCCTTTAAAACTGCTCTGACAAGTTATCCTTGCTGACTCATTTTGTTGTAATTGGTACAAGGAATGTCTTCTCAGCAGACTTGTTCAAACTGCTTCAGTAAGACACCAAATGGAAACAACCAGCTTCAAACAAATCAGTCCTCAATTAAATGGAAAATAACCACTCACCTTCTGGACGCTCAACAAACGTTCTTTTTAAGCTCTGGTAAGTCCCTATTTTTATAGTTCCATATGAAGCTTGCCGTAGCATTGCAGGTGCAATCCTGTAAAAACAAAACAGCAACAATGCTTATGCTCAAGATTGAAAAAAACTGATCAGCAGGAGAGACTGAACACAAGATACCTACCAGAGAAAGACCGGTTCATTTAAATAGACAGTTTAAACTCACTATAGACAAAACAAGCTTTGGAGCTTTTTTGTTTGTTTGTTTGTTTTAAAGCCTGCAAGAACAGGAATGAACTGTGTAAGGATTACTATTAGACCATATGCTTCAACTTGTGATCTATAAAATAGCTGGCAGGCATGTCTGGAATGTAAGTCGCCCACCATCCTACATGTTTTAAAGAAAATATGCTCACCTATATACAGAGGTTAATTCAGTTTTTCTTCTGCAAGATGCCATAGCAGCACTGTAGAGAATAATTAACTGTATGCTTAGCTATTTTTTCCAAGTAAGTTTTGTTGATGGGTTTTTAACAACACAGAATCCTATTGCCAATTGCAAATACTGAAGTGATCTTAGATTGGTCTTTCAGCTTCCAGATTAAGGCTAACCAAATACCTTCTAGTTCTAAAATCAAAACATTCACACATTGTGGGCTTATACTTATCAATAGACTGTTCATAAGCCATTGCTGCAAGCCAGTTAATTTTACCCAGAGTATAAGGCTTTCAATCCTTCTTCTCTGCATATTCTGACTAGTGCATGCACCATTCCACGGTAGCGGATCTCTTTATATTTGGCATCATTAACTTGACCTTGAACCTGGAGACGTGTTTTGGTCAGATCAATGGGGAAAGTACCTTAAAGGAAAGTCAGAGAGAAAATTAATTAAGTACTTACCTAACCAAAGACCACAAAGAACGTCATATATGAAACAGCAACCTTTCTTATATACCAAAATATATAAAAATAGTCCCACGGGAAAGAAGTCTCTTAACAAGACTTTCTTTTAAACAAGTGGTTCATGCTGTATCACCTTGTTTCTCCTAAAAGCTTGTCAGAGGCCTTACCTACTCCCTGTGTTTACATTCTCCATTCAGTGTATTTTCAGGCAACATGGTATTGCCCAGTTGTAAACAGCCACACTGAATAGGATACTACAGTCACAATCAAGTACAGAGTTTGCATGAGCATTCTACCAACACCTTTGAAGAGCACATCACTGAAGGCAATAAATTCCACAGGACATGCTATACAGATTAAAAAAAAACAAAAACAAACAAACAAAAAAACCCCAGCAGTACCTATTTGTGTTATTGCTTTCCTACTGCTACGTTCAATTCATACTCTCCATGCTCCCTTTATGAAAGGGTTCAGAAAGCATATCCTTCCAGAGCTTATCTTTAGGAAAAGGACCACCTACCTCAACATTCAATACTGACCTAAGCACCAACAGAAATTGGGATTAACTACATCTGTTCTAACAAGGTTTACCAGACATATAAAGCTTTTGTGAATTGTTTGTCTTACTTACAAAGCTTTTGGTATTATTGGCCGTGTTCAGTCAAGTCAAATAAAAGAGGTTTTAAACTAAACTTTGCACAAGTTTCAGAAGAGAAAGTAGAAATCCTTCCCTTCCCTGGAAACCTTCAAAGTCAGATTGGAAAAGGCTCTGAGCAACCTCATCTAGTTAAAGATATCTCTGCTCAGTGAACGGAGATTGGACTAGAAGACCGTCCAACCCAAACTACTCTATGATTCTATGAAAACAAATAGTAGTTTTATGTGTAATTTTATATTGCATCTACTTTACTAGACAAACTTCCCATGAAAGTCAACCACATGCTCAACTATGTTCTGCTAATATGAAAGTCCACATTTCCTTTATTTTCATGTACATGCATTTCAGATATGACTTTATAAGGATGTAGATATTTTAGGTTGGTCTTTAGAGTAGGCCTAAAACATCAGATGCACTGTCTCACTATAGTAATTATTCTGTGTTGCTCACAAACTGAATTTAATTGTTCAAATCTAATCAAATCTAGCTTGTCTACTGTAGCAAAGCAAAAGCTGTGTTTACTCATGACCACTGTCTAGGAATAGATCAAACAAACACCAAATAATAAAATGCAAAGGCAAAATTTGTATAAAAGCAAGACTCACAAGGGATGAGGGCTTACAGACACAGGTGTTCTGACACAGTAACACAGATCAGAGCAAATCTTCAGTCAGCATTACACAAAAAAACTCCTGTGCTCTAGACCACCATATACTACTACTGTCTAGAAAGCCTCTATTTAAAACAAGCTTGGTTCCACGCTATCTGATTCAAGAAAATAATGTGAACAGGTAAAGGAAATGCTTACCACATTCTGCAGTGACTGATGCTAAACCTCCATAGATAAAGGGCTTCCAGTTTAGTGTTGGCATTATAGGTTCCTCTTTCTGTGAAATAAGACGATTTTATGCTTCTGTAAGTACATGCTATGCATGCTAACACTTCAGAAAATTTTGTGCCTAGTCCACTTAAAATGAGCCTTTCAAACATACTAAGTGTAAAAAACACGTAATACCATTGACAATCAGAAGAAAGTCAGGAATACTGTACAAAGGCATCCAGGTTCAAATCAATGTCTACTAAGTATTTGGGCCACCACCCTCCTCACCGTGAAAGGTTAAAGCAGTTTGTCTCCCAGGCATGATGTTAAGGAGCACTGCAGTGAATAGCCTCCAAGGATTTTTACCAAGCTGAACTAATTTGACTACATCCTGCAATCGAATGGAACTTTTAACACTGTCATGACAAAGCTTCCTTTAAGAAAGCTTTTGCTTCCATTAAGGCCTATTTCTGCTATCAGTGTTGACAATATTCGTTCTTGTGCACATTACGCGAAAATAGAGTAATCAGGTGTATAAGGTATTTTTTTATGTAAAAAAAGGCTGCTCTGACTTACAGGTCAGTTAAGTGCATTTGGCAAAGTCACTACAAAGCGATTAACTATGGCATATGCTTTGCAAGATGTTAAATTATCTTAGAAAAACAATAGAGGAACTAGTCCAGCCAATACAAGATTGCCTTTCCCAAAACTAAGCAGGTCTGTCCACAGCTTATTTTCCCCCTTTCTCATAATATAAATACTTCCCCATTTTTCTACAATATCTTTTTAAACATCGGACTCTACAGTTATCTTTTACCAATTAATTTTATGGGAAAATTGTACTTGAAAGTACTTCCCTTGGCACTTACATACCCTGTTATTTTGTTTATTCAGCTGTACAGCCCAGCTGGAAAATATCACAAATACACAAGTTACTTTTTGTTAACCTTTTGTACAGCTGAACCTTCTTTAGTCACTTCCTCTAGAAGTGCCAATAATCCAGCATCCAAACGAAGTTTCGGAAGTTGCAGAAGCAAGCCTCAGCAGTTTCTGCAGCCCTGGTTCCTTTTATCATCTTTACTTCATGAAGAGTTACCTGGGTCTTCTGACACAGTACAATGAAACCCCAAAGCACACAATTTCAAATACTCAACACCTATGCGCACAGAAACCCATCTTACTCTTTAGAACACTGCTGATGTAAAAAAATAGATAAACAAGGAAAAGGCAACTAAGGACACCCTCCTATACTGCCAAAAAAACTGCAGTACAGAGGTCAGGACCACAGGCACAGACTATGCCAGCTTTTCCATTCAAATGGAGCAGAGCCACATGGGTATGACACTATATAGAGGGAAGCCAGTTCTAGCTCCAAGTTCCTCATATTCCCATTCTGCCATGATTAATGACAGATCATTCAATTAACAGAGACAAAGCCAAACTTGGTTTCCCCACTATCAGCCACACACTGATCTTTGCTTCTGAGAAGCTTGTCAAAACTGACAGTTAACTCCCTCCGCCCCAACATACTAAAATGAAGTTTCATCTATCACAATACCACAACACTAATAAAAGTAAAAGATATCCTTTTTCTGTTTATTTCGTATTTCACTCTGCCTAGCCAGTGAAGGCTACTCACCTTTTCTATGTAATTTTGTGCACTGCCAAATAAAGTTTTCAATTTGTACATATATTTACTAATATTAGTTGAAGCTTCAATACACATGTAGGATACTCTAATGCAAAAATTTTGTAGGGCACTCTTTTTTGACATATGCCACGGTGAAAGTCAAGGTCTGTACCTCTGAAAGTCTACTAGTCTCCTCTCCTGGTATGGAAAGCTAACTGTATGAGTCTTTCTAATTCTATCCTACATCCTTCCTTCTAGCTTTCCTTAATTTAGAAAAAAAAGTAGGAAGAAGAAGGAAAAATTAAAGCAAAGAGACAGAGCTGATTATAGAGGAAAAAGAAAAAAAAAATCCCAAAAAACACACCAGCCAGTAATTTCGTCCCATGGCTCAGCTGTTTCATTTTCCATTCATTTTCCGAATTCTTGGTTTGCTTCTTACTCAGAATTTCTTCCCTATACCAATAAAAACAATAAGCGTCTCTTTAGAAGAATTTCGTATCAGATGAGTGAGTGGCAAACTAGTTAAAAAGGGAAGCCAGCCATCATTAAAGAAAAAATTGAAGTCTTCAGTTTTACTAGAAAGACGTTACCCTTATCAAACATATATTGTTGTTCCCTGAACATCAGTGATGACAGAGGGGATACTTGCTGGGTTGAACTAATACAGAGATTCATCCACGTGCTTTCTGCAAAAGTCATAAGCAAGTCTGCTTGCTTTTAACCACAGCGTGACCGAATAGAACCAAAACCCCGGGTTTCATAAAAGAATGCATTGCTTAAATAGTTCGATATTCCCCTGCTGGGGAACAAGCTTGAAAAGTCACATATCGAATTATACATTAGCTAAAAACATCGTCACCGTATTAAGCTCACGGTGTACTCCAGTTTACAGTAGCTTTAGCTACTTAAAATGGATTCGGCTCTAGGGAGGCAACAAGGACCGTAGAAATAACTACACACAAAAGATGGTCTCCCACCCCACCACGACCTGAGGGGCAGCAGCTGCCGCCTCCTTACTCACCACCGAGGTCTCTCCTCTACCCCCGCGTCCTGCCGTGCCAACCCCCGCAGCTCCCTAATGCTGATCCCTCTCCCAAATCCCGATCCCGCTCCCCGCTTCCGCGGCGGCTTTTGGGGAACGCGGAGCTCCGCCCCGGGGCGGGTTCGCCCCAGAGGCCGAGCCGGCCGGGAGCGGGGATGGTAGATACGGCTGTAAAGCCCCAGTCGGCTGGAAGGGGACGGCGAGCCCGCCTGTAAATAAACTTGGGAAAAGATTAACCACCCTGACCTTGCAGTCAGAGGTCTCCCCTCGCCGCTGGCCTTGGGAGGCTGCTGGGCTGGCGGGGCGGGGTAGTGTTTTCCACTGGCATTCCTGCCCTGGAGCGGCTGTGTCAGGTATTTCAGCGCTCCCGATTAACGAGCAGGTCACTCGCCCCTTAGGGTTTCTCCTCAGCATTAACCTTACTTACAACCACAAGGACATTGATTTTGCCCCTCAGTTTAGGGTCGTAAACGCCTGTGCTGCCAGCGACGCCGCAGCTTCCCCGAGTCGGCAGGGAACCTCTAGCTACCTGCTGTGTGGAGGAACAGAGAGGAACAAGGTGGTCTTAAAGAGCTACTTTGCTCTTTAAAATGCCCCGTTGGATGTTTCTGACAAAGCAGTTACACAGGTGCTATTATTATTTTTGTTATTATTCAGTTTTGTGCAATTATAACTGTATTTCTTTGCATTACCAATACTGAAATTATGCACTCAGTACATAAGCTTTACATTGCTTTGTCAATACAAATCCAGCGCCTGTCCAGAAGGAACACGGGCTATCCAAAAGGACGGGTCTCAGACGCTGTATAGGTCGATGAAGTAATCAGTCGATGAAGACTGGACAAGAACCAGAACTAGTCATGTTCTGAGCCCAGGACTTCCTAGAAACAGTGGGAATCGGCTTTTTTGCTGCCTCCAAAGGCAGAGTGTTCTGGCAACTCGGTGCTTTCTATTTCTGACTGAAGAGCTGCCAGGAGTGCTTGTAGGACCTACCCCCACGGTGCAGCCCTGCTGCTGCTGTCACTCCACTGCCTTGCAAGTGGACGGCATGCCTTCCCCCTGAAAGGTCAAAACATCCTCTGGTATTGCTCCCTGAGGGGAGCAATAATCAGGCAACTAATCTCAGGGCAAGGCTGCCAGCTGAAAAACTTCATTTAAGCTACTGGCTGGTAGAGAAAAGTGATAATACCCATTCAGCTCTCACTAAGAAACTGAATGTGGCCTTGCGTGCAACCCACAGTAAAACATAAAGAATCCAAAAGTTGTGTTTCAGTATGCTGTAAGTGCTTCATACAATGAAAATAGTTCTCTATAACCATCCAAGTCCATTACAGACCTCCCAGAAATTTTACATTTCTATTGTTAAGGCAGCCCAAGAGCTCACGTTCCAATCACAGTGTTGCAAAGTTGTCTTTGCAAATTGGCCTCTCAGAAGGTAGCTATAAACTCCCACCTCAGAACTGGTATCCCTGTTCAGACCTGCTCCTGAAACTCCTAGTAACTCCCAAGTACTTTCCAGGTTTTATATCTACAGCAGGTAGGATCTTACTTGAGGTAAACTTTGAACGGCCCCTTTTTTTCTTTTTGCATGTCATTGGGACTGATTCTAACGCTGTTTGATTTTTGTGCAGCCACTTCAGTTTTCTGACTTCTCAAATTTCTATCTCCTTTAAGAAAGGCCTTAATTCCAGTTTGACCTTAAGTTGTTCCCAGAATTTGGTCAGCTGCTTCTACAGGCAGCTGTGTTTTATTATTTCTGATGAAAACCAGTTCCTCCTCTCACATTACAGCTTGCACCTGATCACATCTCCTTAAGTACCTGCTAGTTCTCAGCAATGTACTTATGAACAGAGAGAAATTCAGATTAACTTTTGTTACTGCTGCTGACTTTTGCGTGGGTCCTCTGAGTAACGTCTTCTCTTCTATTCTCAACCCAATTCATACTGTGAGATACGTAATGCTTTTATCAACAGCCAGTAGACTATTTTTTGGCAAGCTGCCCTGAGCCTGATACCTGCGTCATATCAGTAGTTGACTTTGGTGCTCAGCATCTTTTCACATGCCTCTGAACAATCCATGTGCTACTGATTACATAGTCTTACAACAGTTTTGTCCAAAAGCCAGTTCTTTCCCAATGGGCTGTGTGGAGCTAGGATTTAATTCATTAATTCCCAGACCCCTAACCTTACTGCTCCTGAATTTCCTTACACATTTTTTATGTTTCTTTTTTAAGCAAAAGAGGACCACCCTCCAACAATTCTACCAGAGAGTTCTGCTTTCTATGCACTGATTCCTGTTTCACTGTTTACATTTCTACTCATAATGGAAAATCATTTCTCTTCTGGTCTCTGCAGTGATGAAGACAGTTTTGCCTGGTGTCCTACTGGTTAGTGAAGTGACGGACGGTTGTGGGCATTGTCCAAACTGCCTTGTCATTTTGTCGCTAGTAGTAACCACTGGAGAGTTTCCTTCATCCCCTGGAAACTTTCACAATTATTAGTTACATAATTCACTTGCTTCATTTGTGTCCCACTGGCTGTGTGCTGAAAGCAAGTCTAGGATATGGGAATCAACAGCTCCTTGCCCTGGCACAGCCTTTTCATCTTCAGGGTTTGCACTTTCTGTCTGAGAAAAAATCCATCATATGCTCAGTCATACAGCAGATGACTTTGTTGGAAAAATAAACGCTCAGTGTGCTATTGGCATGTGTAAAAATAGAAGACATTAAATAATCCTTCCACTGTGTTTGTTGGGGCAAAGCGTCAGCTGGAGTACCACATCCAGCTGTGTGGTGCATTTCAGGAGGGTTGTAAAGGGGAGGATAAGGTTAGGGATACAAAACACAATCTGCAAGGAAAGATTAAAAGAAATAGACTTTTTATTTAAAAAAAAAAAAAAAAAAAAAAAAAAAAAAAAAAAAAGGATAACATAAACTTCAAGACTGAAAGTTATCCATAAAGAGGAAATGAATTACTGTTAAGGAGCTGTTTCTCAGATGTAGTTTCAGTCTGGGTGATGCAACCCAAGCATTGGGATGGACTCCCAAGGATTTTTCCAGCCCATTTTTCTGTAATTATTCAATGACATTTCCTCCTCCTGCTACTGACGTATGTCATATAGGTATACAACGACAACACAACTTAAGTTTCTAACTTAGACTCTGCTGTGCAGAATTCAAGGAGAAAGGAAAGTGAAAGCAGGAGCAGTGATAAATGTGTGGGGGTTTTTTGTTTTTGTTTTTGTGTTTTTTTGTTGTTGTTTTTTTTTTTTTTAGAAGTCTGATTTGGTCTTTGCCATTAGCAAGAGCCAAAGGTCTTTACGGTATCATTGTTTTGTGGATATATCATGTTATTTGTTTTTAGTGGGTAAAGGGTGAAGGAACAGAGGGCAGTTCCGACCTTTGAGGGTAAAGAAACTGAGGGTAGTTCTGTGCTTTAGGTGGACAAGAGAGTCATACAGCATAAGGTCCCAGCAAGGCAATTCTAGTAAATGTAAATCTGCAAACCATACAAAATTTTCCGAAAGTGTTGCAATCTTGCAACAGGTCCTGGGACATTGATTTCTTGTGTTTTCTGAGACTCCCTACAGAGATAATAATTTCTGTGTACGTCACAGTGTTAGATTTGATGTTTTTTGAATGAGGCAAATGAAAAGCTGTTGACGTTTTTCAGATAGGTAGGCACTATAGAAGGCTTTTCACTACTATAAAAATACTTTCCCACCTTAACAGGTCACCTGTTGTCCTCTGGATCCTTGCTAAATAAAGATCAGTCACAGTTGCATCACAGAGGTTTTTGTCTGACATGGCACTGTAGCTAAACAAGTAGTAACTAGAAGAAACAATGCCAATTTGAATGCTGGTAGATGCCACACAAAGAAAAGCAAACATTATTCTGTGTCCTACTAAAAACCAGGCAGAATGTGGTGTAAGATACAGCCTAACATTTTCCATAGGGGAGATGATTCAGTGTTGAATGGAGGACAGAGAGGTTGATGTGACACCAAATAACATTTTAGGTATGGTACATTTTCTGCCACTTTAGGTACATACCTTACTTGGCCGTACTCAAGTATCCAGGGGTAGTAAGAAGCATCTGCTGAGGAAACACATATTTGTGGAAGCATCTGCTGGGGGAAGTACCTATTTGCACTTGACTATCCTGTGGAAGAGGAGGTGCAGTTGAAGTAGTCCTACAGTAACAGAAATGTTACTTATACAAGACAGTGGACAATGGAATGTGGTGGCAGGTGACCCCAAGACATGTCCTTCCCAGTGCAGGATTTAGGTTGATCAGAAAACAAAACTGCCTATGTAGGAAAATTTCAAACTTGTAGTGCTGTTACTTTTTAAAGGAGACTCACTATTCTCTTTCCTGATCCCCAAGTTTTGCTGATTTTCCCATAGCATCTGCAGAATACTTTTCATTAAATCATTACCCAAATAATACAGGGTTTTTTTCTGTTTACCACAGTCTGGCTTTGGGTAACCCAGCTTTTGCTATCAGAATTTGAATACCCTTTCCTTTCTTTTAAATTTAAAAACGTAGTTTACAAATTTTTGTTAAATGAAGCATTTAAGCAACATCACATTTTTTAAATTAAAAGTTCTGAAAATGCAGGATGCTTTCTGAAGAAGTACTTTATTGCTTTGCAGGCCTGCTGATCCAAAGTATGACAGCACCAGAACTAACACTGTGTTTGGCCAAGATGAGCTGATTGCTGTTTACCTTGAGCAACAGGGGTTATTCTGCACAGCAGGGGAAAACAGCTGTAGGATTTTGTCCTTAAGGTAGTCATCTGTCATGAAAAGCACATCTTGAACAAGTCACTCAGGATCTTTAGTTTGCAATAGGATTCCTTGCTGATGCTGCAAAGCAGCTGTCACAGGTAGGAACTCACATCTCCAGTGACTCCCAGTAACAAAGCCTGGCAGAGTGGGAAAACTGTTTTCTTTCAGGGGCTGAAGAGGTGCAGAGTGCAGTGATAGAGACCCTGGGCTTCTGGGAAACTTGGTAGCTGACATGTTCAAAAACCTCCCTCCATTTTCCACAGTCATCCTTCCCTACAGAGGATTCAGTGAATGC